CAGAAGTCGGAAAAATAATTTATACTTTATTACACATTCAAGTCCACAAATCGCCGTTGTATTTTTGAGTTATAATAGTTTTAATATTTTGTATATACGAATCCGAAATTAATTATAATTGGGCAGTTTACCACACATTTCATGCCCACAAATAACCGAGGTATTTGGTATTAATACTTCCATTATCGATACTTTTGACCATCATTATCAAAATTATTTGCAAGAAAGCGGGTGAAAGTATTTTTCTAATAAATCAACTTGTTTTCCAACTTGTGACAATTTATTGGATATCGTAACAATTACGGCTATAAATACCGTATTTCCCGGCTAATAAGTCTACATGGCAAATAGGACGATGTATATTTTTAGCACTCAAAAAAGGGGGTTTTCCATATAGGCCTCCAAGAAGAGGGGTAGAAAAATTGTTCCCTGTTGTTCAGTTATGCTAATATGCGCTAATAATAATGTTTAGAACCAGATCACGTTTGTTAAGTAGAATCATACTCACAGAATTAACTATTTTTAACAATAAAGCGGTAATTTTAAGTTGAAAATCACAATCATTTTGAACAATCTATAATTTTATAGGGTCAGAACAGAACCAGATCATGTTTGTTTGGTAGAACCATACTCACGGAATTAACTATTCTCAACAACGAAGCGGTAAATTTAGATTATAAAGCGGCAATCATTTTGGACAACTATGGTGGCCCATCGTTGTCACGCGTAAAATTGAAAATAACAAATAAAAAACCGAAAATAAAAAAATAGTTGTGAAAAAACATAAAAATAATTGAAAAAAATAATGATAAAAAAAATTAAAAAAAAAAAAATTGAAAATAAAAACGAAAAAAAAAGAATGAAAAAAAAAAATTAAAAAAAAAAAAAAAAAATTGAATAAAAAGAAAATAAAAAGGTTGACAACGATGGTCCGCCTCGTGGCCCATCGTTGTCACGCGTTTTTATTTTTAGAAAATTTGCTTCTGCTTGGGACCATCGTTGTCAGGCATAATCCTACACGCACAAATGTGTTCCCTGGGTTTCCAACTCACTACTGATTTTCTTGAGCAATATTCAATATGAAAATGTTCTATAAATTATCCATGCTACAAGTTCAACAAGAAGTAATATGTTTATAATAATGATAAGAGAATATAGAATTGAATTGAATACGAAAATTCGGAAAATTTGTTTTTACGTGTAGAAGGTAATTTAATTGGAGAATGCTGCTTAACTACTCAGTTGTCTGGACACTCGCGATGCCGGTACCCGTCTTACCAAATACCGGCAGTCGGTTATAGTCGCTTTGCGTCTGACCGTACCGTTAGCCATGCAATCACTCATGAAAGAATGGGAGATACGGATAGTCTCGTAGAATATAGACTACTGAAACACTCTCTGCGCCTGCCCCATACCGTACAGCCGTAACGTACCGATCCAGACAAATGATAAATCGCCCGTGCTCAACCATTTATTTCAATCCATACCTCGATCCTAGTAGAATATAGTGAATCGAGGTATGGATTGAAATAAATGGTTGAGCACGGGCGATTTATCATTTGTCTGGATCGGTACGTTACGGCTGTACGGTATGGGGCAGGCGCAGAGAGTGTTTCAGTAGTCTATATTCTTCGAGACTATCCGTATCTCCCATTCTTTCATGAGTGATTGCATGGGTACCGGTACGGTCAGACGGTACCGTACCGGCATCGCACGAGTGTCCAAACAACTGAGCAGTTAAGCAGCAGTTTTCAATTAAATTACCTTCTACACGTAAAAACAAATTTTCGTATTCAATTCTATATTCTCTTATCATTATTATAAATATATTGCTTGTGGTTGAACTTGTAGCATGGAGAATTTATAGAACATTTTCAGGTTGAATTTATTGAATATTGCTCATGAAAATCAGTAGTGAGTTAGAAACCCAGGAAACACATTTGTGCGTGTAGGATTAAGCCTGACAACGTTGGTCCCAAGCAGCATCAAATTTTCTAAAAAAAAAAACGCGTGACAACGATGGGCCACGAGGCGGACCATCGTTGTCAACCTTTTTATTTTCTTTTTATCCAATTTTTTTTTTTAATTTTTTTTTTTTTGTTGTTTTTTTTTTTCGTTTTTTTTTAATTTTTTTTTTAATTTTAATTTTTTTTTTCATTTCTTTTTTTTCAATTATTTTTATGTTTTTTCACAACTATTTTTTTATTTTCGCTTTTTCATTTTTTTTTTTCATTTTTTTTTTAAATTTTACGCGTGACAACGATGGGCCACCATAGACAACCTATCAACCCGAATGTTGAAATAATTTTGGAATGTGATAAGTTCCACACGGTACGTCCACGGGTTATTTCACAGCTGTGTTTCATGTCCCTGTCATTTTCTGCTGAATCGGCAAAACCAAAGGGTCATAAATCACTTTATCTCGGTGGCGGTGGCCGTGTTTTCTCTTTTAAGTAACGATAACCAGCCTACGATTAAATATCATGATTGGCAGGCCCATAAGAACCAAATATAAGGTTAACACAAATTATGCTTGAGAAGACTAAGGAGAATGTCGGCAATGTCCACCAACGCAAACGTGCAAATGTGTCCCAACACTATGCGACGTACATTCGCGCTGAATATAAACAATCAAAATGCCGACTCTATTTCATCGTCATTACAATACGCGAGAAAGCGTAAAAAGTCGTTTAAAGATTCCGGTAAAACGAAACACCGTGTTTACGGCGAAAAGTGACTACTATTCGTAATTATTCGGAAATGAGCCGAAAAGGTATTCGAATACTTTGATATTCGAATAATTTCGAATATTCGATTCGTTTTGGACAACCCTGGGCCCACACCACTGCTAATTTGAAGTTAGACAATTCAGCAATTAAATATATCAAATAGTTAGAATGCATATTAACTTTTTGCTTAGGTCTGCGGAGTTCACTCAAACAGTCAAATGGCTTTAGCAGTTTCACTTTTTAGTTTATCGCTTGCTCCACACAATGCTGCAATGTTACTGGTACCGGTACCAGTCCCAAATTGACATACCGTGTTCGTGCCTACATCTTGCCACACAATAATTCCACCGCGAAGGCATATCTGGTACGGTACCGGTAGGTCAGTAGGTACCGTACCGGTACCGTACTGTCCTTGTAATTACCACCAAAACAACTGCCAGAGTAGCCTAATTTGGACCAGAAGAATGTTAAATCTCTTATTTTCTGTCTACTGCCATTCTCTACGCTGCCCATGCCGTCAGGGACTGCCATTAGCCTTGGCAGATTAATGCTGTAATGGGCCACATACCGTACCGGTACTCACTACGGTACCGGTAGGTGGTACCTATTACCGTACCGTATCCTGGCATATGCAGATACATTCAGGCTACATGCTAAACTTAAGAACCTTAAAATGCTCGTACGGTACCGGTACGGTAACACTGACACCATGCCCTTCACTTTTTCAAAGTCGCCATCCCTAATCTGCCACCACAATTCGACCGCATTTTGCCATCCCTAATCTGCCACTACGCTTCGACCGCATTTTGCCATCCCTAATCTGCCACCACGCTTCGACCGCATTTCGCCATCCCTAATCTGCCACGCTTCGACCGCATTTCGCCATCCCCAATTTGACTTTTCGACCCTATTTTGCCATCCCTAATCTGCCACCTTTCGACCGTATTTCGCCATCCCTATTCTGCCATCCCCAATATGACTTTTATGCTACCACCACTATAGTTGTGTACGGCGATGTCAGGCGCTGCGCTCAGGTCCAAGTGCAGTTTCAAGTATTTTGTGGCGTCTACAGCTGCCGCAAAACCATGGCGGGATTTCCAAACCACGGCCACTAAGACCAAACCCACGGCGACTGACTTTTTAGCTGCCACAAACCAATAGCGAGCTGCCGTGGTTACGGCAGCAAATCGAATACCACCAATTTTACTGCCGTAACCACGGCAGGTCGGCTGTAATAGCAGGGCTGCCCCTAATCTGCTGATGGTGATAAATATTTGGTGAGTTGGAATGTTTTTCTTATGGATACAGTTTGGATGGATTTGGGGTTAGGGTTAGAGTTTAAGTAGATATAATTTCGCATGATAAACTAAAATATGGTACATAAATTTGTAAATATACCGGTAATAGCGCCATAAAACCATGGCAGGAGACGGCGTGGTACGTTCGTGGCAGGAGCTGCCATGAAGTGGTAAGAACTGCGCCTCGATTCGGTTGTCAAAAGCAAATAGGTACAGCAAAAACTTACAAAAATTCCTCTCAGGAAACAACATCAACAGATGTTAGCTTCTTCGGCATATAATATTATGTAATATAATAATCTTCGTACGCAAAATTGATTCATCCCCTAGAAATCCTTAATATAAAATCTAACGTTAACTTATATTTAACTTGGCAAACAGTTACAAAATTATCAATACTGCAATATGTGGGTGACAAACATTTTTTATTCTTTTTAATTACTTTTTTATCAATTTTTATTACAGTAACAGTATGGGATTTATCTAAAGTTTCTCATGTTTTTCTTTCATGTCTGTTTGTGGTTGTGCAGTTGTGTGTGAATTAAATCAATACGGTACTTTTAGGTGAGTGAACACGAACCAATTCCTTCAAACTCATATTCCAATACGCGATAAACCTTACTTACAGACATAAAGTACTTTGCTCTCAATGATTCTATAATCAGTTTTTATTTATTGTTTTTTTGTCTGTTATGCTGGTTATGGAGTTGAAATATACTTATATTGTAATATACTCTGAGTCTTGGGTATAAAATGCCTACAAGGATGCAGTGCAGCAGTACTATAGTATACTGCTATACAAACCCTTACTTCTGAACTAGATTCTATTCTAGAATAGAATAATTTTTCCATTAACCAACAGTACCAGTTTTACTACAGTACAGCAGTACTAGGGTATTTGTTTTTATCTTTTTTAGTTTTTTTGCAGATTACTGACCAGCTAAAGTCCTTTTTTGGCTTTACAGTATCTTAATCTAAAATAAAAATGAGAAAGTCAAAATCGTTGTCATGGATTCGCCCATTTTTGCCTGTCATACTTGGACTATCTCTTGGATTCAGTATGAGTCTTGTGCGAATACCACTTAATCAAGATGGCTGCCAAAATTTTTTAAAGGATCATATTGATCGTCAACTGAGATCTGTGGATTCAGACTTTAACCAAATAAACAGAGGGGATGGATTAAAAACAATGGATAAAGATGGAGCACCAGCTGAACCTATATACGACTCTTTTGAAGATTTTGAGCCAAGGATAATAACTGATCCTGGCTTAAAACCAAGAATTGATCTGTCTGCAAATAAGAAAAAAGTTGTTAGGACTCGATTTATAAGCACAGAATTAGGCATTCGAGAAAAACTATATGTTGGTGTGCTAACAAGTACAGATAAATTACAAAGCCTTGGTGTCGCTTTTAATAAAACAGCAGCACATATTTTGCAAAAAGTTGAATTTTACGTTGCTGCAGTATCAGACATGGAAAATCAGTCTAAGAATCCAAAGTATATGGTAACAAAAATGCTCAAAGGGGATACTATGGTGCATAGATTATATGAAATGATATCAAATATGTTGGAAGAGAACAAAGACACATACGACTGGTTCTTTATAGTAAAAGACAATGTTTATGTTCAAGGAGAACGTTTAGACAATCTTGTCAGTCACATTAGTATCAACAGAAAATTATACATGGGAATGCCACATGTAACAAATATTGATTCACAATCAATATCATATTGTAGTATGGACAACGGCATTCTATTGTCACGACTTTTGCTCATCACTCTTTTGCCAAATTTGCAAAAATGTGCCAATGAAGGCAGTATGAGTGATCCGAGTATATGGTTGGGAAATTGCATTCATCAAACATTCGACGGTCGTATTAAATGCTCTACAGAGCAAGATGGTCAAAATTTTTTCAGTTATACAATTTCGGAAAAAATGTTTGACCCAGAACGAGTAGGAGGCACTTCATTTAGAGAATCACTCACTGTGGGAAATGTGGGAACACCTCCAATGTTCTATAAACTGCATAGACAGTTTTCTCAATTTGAAATTGAGCTTGCATCAAAGGAAATCGAAGCTATACAACAAGAAATAGAGTTCATCAACACAAAACTTCCAGATTCTGACAAACAGACATCCTGGCCTATTGGTATAAATCCACCATTTAAACCCACAAATCGTTGGGATATCATAGTGTGGGACTATTTCACAGAAGAATACACTTTGACATGTCCTGGCGAGGTTCCCAAGTGTGAATTATCTGGAATTGATAAGCTGGATGTTCAGAACATTCTACAGATTGCCATGGAACGCCTAAATGATAAATATAATCCACAAAAAATTGTTTTGGAAAAGAAAAAACTTTTGAATGGATATAGGCGTTTTGATCCACAAAGAGGCATGGAATATACTCTTGACCTTTTGCTCAATGCTATGGTAGAAGGCGAAAAGGGAGAAATAGAGATAAATCATAGAGTGCATTTGCTTCGTCCACTAAGTCAAGTTGAAATAATTCCGATGCCATATGTAACTGAAGCCACTAGAATAAGAATGATATTACCAATAACTGCAGACCAGAAATCCAATTTTGATGCATTTATACAAAGGTTCGCGTCAGCTTATTTGGATGCGGATGAGAACATTGAATTAAGTGTTGTTTTCATATATGATCCAAGTGATGCACAACGCATTCATGATGATGATGTTTTTGGTGATGTTAAGCAGAAATTACAAGAATACGAAACAAAATATCATAAAGAGAAACCAGCTGGGAATGCTAAGCTTATTCCTTGGGTTAGCATCAAGACTGAAGTTCCTTCACAACTGAAAACTATGGATGTTGTCGCTAAAAAACATCCGATGGATGCCCTTTTCTTTCTCACAAGTGTCAATGTTGTTCTGGATACAGAGTTCTTAAATCGTTGTCGAATGAATGCTGTACAGGGTTGGCAAACGTTTTTTCCTGTACCTTTCGCACAATATAACACGGACATTGTCTTCAAAGATAAACCAATTCCTAAGGATATTGAAATCAAGCCTAGTTACGGCCATTTTGATCTTTACTCATTTGATGAAGTTTGTTTTTATAACTCGGACTACATGGCAGCGAGAAATAAGCTCTCAGAATTCATTTCTGATAGTGATAACAATGCTGGTAAAGATCCTATGGATACCTTGGATATCTATAAACTATTAGTGAAATACTCTGAACTACATGTTTTTAGAGCAGTTGAACCACAGTTGAAGCGACATTACTCACATCGGCAATGTAATTCTAGATCTGGTGAGGATCTTTATCAAAAATGTGAAAGAAGCAATGCTGAAAGTCTTGCATCAAGGACACAATTAGCTATGGAGCTTTTCCCAGATGAAAATGAGAAAAAATTGTGAAGTGATAGAAATTGATTTGTTACTCTGCAATATGAGAAACTTGTATAGCTTCTGGTTATCAAGTTGAAACACAGCAGTGAATATTTTCAATTACTGCTACACCTCAAATCACATTCTCATTTGGTGCCTTTTTTTTAAATTTGGGAAGACTGTTTAGCCGTATTTCCGCCCTACTGTAAAATTCCACGAGAAATGGAATTGAAATGAAAAAAGTAATTCATGCAGTAATAATTCATTCTTTGATATTTATTAAATATATTCACCCACATATTAAAATATTACTAACTGCATGTTGTATTTTTAAATGAAGCCTTTTTATTTTTTCATGTTCTCTTCAATCTTCGATTATTTTTATTGAGTTCTTATTCATTATTATTATTCACACTGTAGTGTAGAACTTTATAAATGTATCATGATGATGTTCACCAAACAGTAAATAATAGTGTCTTATGCGTAATGTGGTGTTGGTTATCAATAAAATTTATCTTCAACACACATCCATCAATGCTTGTAGTTTTTGCATGATTTACTTTTCATAATGGTGCTTCTAAAATTTTGTTCTTGTATTCATTTCTTCGTGCCATATCTTATATAGTAATTTTACTTTTTTGTTACATATTTTTATAATACTTCTGAATACAAGACGACATTTGTGAGAAACCGTTAAGATGTTTTAAAAACTAATTAGAATTCCCATGAATATAATATAACTACGGAGGCTCTTCCCGTAAAGTCATCTGAAATTGACCAATTCAGAGTAGTTAAGAAGGTGATGATCACTATTTGGAGCACTAGAACCAGAAAAACGTGACATTTCTATATTCCCCGATAAAGTTTTACACAGTTATTGCAAGAGAAACAAATTGTTTTTAATTTAGTGTATTTTTTATGTATTGAATATGTGCTATGATTTTGGATACAAAGTTCAAAGTTTATTCATATGCAATGGTGATTGGAATCTTTTAAATAGTGTTATTTGTAATTGGTAGGAAGTTTGGTCCAATATATTAAACCATATATATGATGCTATTTCCTAGAATACTACCAAGTACAAAGTGATTACAGACATGTTCTGCCAATATCTCAAATTTCCGAAGAGACAATATAGCACTTATGCTAGGTCTTTTAAAACTTGACATGACCTAACATAGACTTCATTTCAGATTGCAGCTATTTTCCCACTGACGTTTTCACATATCAGGACAGATCGTTATAATCTTTCCATTTAAATGTTATTTGTTGATGTCATTAAACTCATTCCTCAATATGACTTGCTGCATTATTTCTTCAAATGATTTTGACAATACTGTGCATGTGACAGATATTATTCTGAACTTAATGTTTTGTGTTCATTCCTAATCAAATGACTTGGTACATCATCATATTCATTTCCCGCATATGGCATGAACTCGTCTTTTTAATTGTTGTGTGTATTTTTGCATTTATAGTGAACAGTTTGCATATTTTTGTTAGTTACTTTTTTTTCTTGATGTTAACTGCACCATGTTGTACATTAAATTATTATGAAATTGTAATTTTTGGTAATTATAAACAATTGGTCATTTTTGGAAACAACTAGTATGAAAATTCTGAACCTTGGAATGTATAATACTCATTTTTTCAGTTCATTATAAGGACCTCTTAAAGTATACGCACCAAGATATACAACCTGAACTCAGGTTGTGTACCAGGTTAGGGTTCAGGTTATGCGACATCTTGGTGCGCATACTTCAGGAGCACCCATTATAATACATTTTTTTATTAAAATTGTGACTTCTCTGATGGCAACTTTCATGGGCTTTCCTTGTTCTATGTTTGATTAATTCTGTCTCCTTTTCATATTTCCTGATCTGCATCGATAATTGACTTTTCTTATTGGGAATTTTCCCCATAGTATGGTCTCCCACACTTGCTTGGATGCAAGGAAACTTCACCTCTGTCATGGGTGGCCACCGGGATGCCAAGAGCTACTTTAACCATGCAGAAATAATGTAGCACATTACTTGGAAATAAATGCCTATTTCCACAAGACCTAAAACTGGTTGATTTGCCCGTTTTGCATAAAATATTATGCATTTGGAGTTTCCGTCCCCAGCAGTCAATTTTCTTCATATTATAAAGTTTTCGTTTTCTTGAGTACTTAATTGCTTGTGTAGTCTGCTCTGTCTATATTCATGTTGTCTTCTGATTGTGTCTGATTCCAAGTACCGGTATATATTGTTTATTACCTGAATATCAATCAAATATATAAAATTTTTGGTAATTAAGCTATTGGTGATTTTTTGATTCCGGGGATGACATGGTACGGAGGTTAAAGAGTTTCCTCCTTGAGTCATTGATGTTGAAGGAAGGACTAGTTTTCTGCCTGTGTTCCCGAACAAACGCAGTCAGGACTAGATATCTGTGATTTTGGGCGATGATTGCACGTTCTATTCGTTGTGTGTTAATAACGCATGCAGTTGGTGCTGCAAAATTTATCATGTGGAAATCAGCGACTATTTCGCTGTGTTTTATGAATGGTTTTTCAATAAACACCAAGTGCTTCACTGTCAAATCAAATATTTATTTTGACGTCGTTACGTCAACGCCCCGTGCGTTTGCTTACAAACATGAAAGTCGTGATGGGGAAGCATAAAGAGGGTAATTGCATTGTGTACATATTATTGTACTGGTGCATAATCATTCAGATATTATGATATTTTCATCAAATACCGATAGCCATGAAGCATAATTAACAGCCACTGGTAATTGCAAAAAAATACATGCCAAAAATCGGGATTTCACAAGAGAATGTTCAATAATCCCGAAATACTTAACAAACCACAATGGAGTTAACGCCTGTACGCTATTTACTTTGTGGGTGGACTCATTTAAACGGGGTTACATCAAGCAGTACAAACGACACAGCTATGACGTGTGATTATTTTATTCCTTCCGAATTACCATTGGCTTGATTCGAAGAGCGACTTTCTCCGATGACGTCGAATGCTTGTTGAGAGAGCAAAGTACTTTTAGTGCTTTTCGCTTTGATGTAAGAATATTGAAAGAACGAAAATATAATATTCCATACTGGATAATGAAACTCTTGTAAAATGCTTTCGAAATTCATTTCATAAACTGTAATGAATGATGTAGTGAAAAATTATATTTGGTTAAATGTCCCGTATTCAAAAATGTGTGGCAGAATTACCCTCGGCGCCTACCCTTAAAATTATCCATATTTTCGCCTTCAGAAGGAATTCTTTTTTGTTCTCTGCTTGAGCGTGATGAGATACAATGGAATCGATTCAAAGCCATCATTAAAATTTGATGATTTCTCCAATTTTTTGTTACGCCCAAGCGCGATTGCTGATTGTTTCGTTCACACCTGCAACCTTGAGACGTAAGAGCATCGCGAGTGGTATCACCTGCGGTCAATTAATATTTTTTGTTCGTGTTTTGACTTCAAACTACGGGCTCGCAAAATACTTCATTAACAAAACGTGAAAAAAGGCCAACTTCTGATTTTCTTCCGACATAGTGTTTTACACCAAGTTTGATATGAATTATATTACATAACCTAAAAACATCAACTTGGAACACCATTAGTACTTCAATCATGCTGATTAATACTAAATGTCGTTACCACATATAAAGCAATAAACTTGTGGTTGGTTTTTGAATTCAGAGCAGAACGGTATTTAATAGTAGTTGTTCACTAATGGTCGATGTATACCCCAGTTTATGTTCTCTAAAACGGTTTATAAAGATATTAATTGAACGTCTGTAGGCCAAAATATTCCTTCAACAATATATTCCCAGTGTCATTTGAAATTATATTGAGTCACGAAGTCAAGCAAACTCGTCTTAATTGTATGGACAGCCGACGTCATCCAATAACGGATTATTCGACTTCTACCCTACGCACGGGAAATGAAAGCCACAAGCTCGTTGTATCGTCGAATCTATTTTATTTTCAATCGCAATATATACACATAAATGTTGTGTGTGAATTCCACGGGAACAAAATAAAAAGCTTTCTTTATCTTAACTGAAGTGTTCTTTTCAGTGGACGTCCATACAAATTGGTAAAAAACTGGCGGACAGTAGTGGATCGTTTTATACAAAAATAATTCAATCATGGATAAATTTAGCTTATTTTATCATAATAATTTTGGAAGGATACAAGAACAATTATTTTTGTTATTATCGCACTATCAGAAAGTAAAGTGAAATACGACGTTACGTCTTATTTGCCAGGTATTTACACCTGAGTACTGTACCCGACTGAGCAAGAGGCATATATAATAGCCCTCCTTCAGTCACCCGTGTCAAGTTAAATTTATTTATAGAATGGAAGATGAATTTACTACTCTTTTATAATAGTGCAGCTGGACGGAAAACTACAGCACTTCAATTAATTTTTTACCGACTTTCAATAAAAAATCAAAGACGTAAACAGTTATAAAGCAGAGTACAATGATGCCATTTCATAATATGAAATAGTTTGAAATTCTGAGATGAGTTTTATGAAGTAATCAACGGGAGAGTGTACAAATTCAGGGAAGGACTGGCGAGTATATTGGTGTACTGCAAATTGTAAAGTATAAAGTAAAAATATGGTAATCTTACCATATATTCGCAAGCTTAAAAAAGTCAACTAGAATACTTTCTCGAGTAACTTAACACGCACTAGAAAATACGAAATATATTATTTCAGCAATTTAATACTTTAGCTCAGTGTTTCCCAACCCGAGTCCGCGGTCTCAAATGAGTCCGCGGAGCATTTGAATGAGTCCGCAACGAGCCAGATTTTCACTGCGGGCCGCAAACGTTTTAATTATCAGCCAGGTTACGATTTACGTTAGAGTTTACATAAAACATAAAAAGCAAGTTTATTCACATAACATTAATCGAGTCAATAATTACTGGTTATTGAGTAGGGCTGGGCATAAATTCGAATATTCAACTATTAGAATAGCAATTTACTATTCGAAAATTTGGTAACAGGTGACGCGACAGGTCACTTGCGCGTCGCTTAATAATCAAACGATGGGATTTCACAACTCACCCGCAGATTTCCAACGAAAACACGAGTCTGCACACGCGATTTTCTAGTAGATATCAATGGTGGCATCCCAAATTTTCTAGATTGAAAAGCGGCAATACAAAATACTAAACATAAAACGGAGAACACCATCAGTTCTGGTTTATGATGGTCCGCGAGCGATTAAAAACTCTTTTTTAGACATTGCAAATCGTAAAATTTTGGGTGCTACCGCAGTATACGTACCAAGACATTTTCCTTAGGATTCTTTGCTTTACTGCAGGGTCGTCCAACCCGTGGCCCGCGTGCCATACGTGGCCCGCGGAAGCGATTAGAGTGGTAGAGTTTTTCAGAATTAAATTTAAAAAAAATGAGTAAAGATGTGATACAAACGATTTGTTCATTTTTTTAAAATGCGCTCTGCCAGCCCTTTAAACGAGCCATGGGTGCCATTTTGAAACGAAACTAACTGGGAGGAGATATCGATACATAAAGGTGCCAAAGTCGCTTACACTCTTGGTCTTTTACTACTCTATACGATATTATCGCAAAACAATCGTAGGAATGTATATTATGTATTATTCGGGTTGTCAATGTTTTACGTCTGGAAATAAAGGAGGTTTTTGCAAAAATAGCCTGTCAAGACAGATCATAACTCGTCGTTTTGAAGAGTCTGGGAAATCTATAGCTGAAACTTTAATTGAAAAAGCGGGAAAATTTTTATCGTATCCCGTGGCGCTTGGCGAAAGCACTGACATCAAATTTACTGCTCAGTTGGCGATCTTCTGAGGAGGGGAGTTAATAATGATTTGAAATTACCGAAGAGCCGGCAGCCATTGTCCCTATTAAGAATCGACTGGAGGCATTGATTTGTTGAGAGCTGTGATAAAAATGATCAAGCGTCTTGGCTTGTCTTTGGCGAAACTTTGGGGAATACCCACTGATGGCGCCCCATCAATGGTTGAGAAACAACAGTTTCATTATTCTAATAATTGTGAAAGTTTGGTGTGAGGGTATTGTTTGCTTGTTCATTAACCTGTAGTCAGTGTAGCAAAACTAGAACATAACTACCATGTTAAGTGGCCCGTGAAATTATTGGTGAACTACATGTGGCCCTTCGACCAAAAAGGTTGGCCGACCCTGCGTTTACTGCCTCCACATTGGTACGTGCCGTAGGTGTTGTACGAACAGCTCAGATTTGTCGAATTCACAAATATACGAATCAAAACAAAATATAATCGGGCACTTGTCCACAGATTGTCATGATATTTTCTGAGTAGTATTGCTTTTATTTCGTCAACACAACCGCAGATTATAATGATCACAACCAAATTAATAATAAAGCAAGGCGATGAATATGTATTTTGGATTTACTAATACAGTATACTTTAAAAATATATTTTTATAAGTACTAAATCAAGTTGTACTTTCTGGAAATTTATAGCAAATAGTAGGATTTTTGTAACGGCGATAACAAATTCCCAAGATCGCAAAAAATATGTATCAAAACCAAAAATAATCGGGCAGTATATTCACACATTATTATGTTCGCAGATTGCCGTAGCATTTAAGAAGTAATACTTTATCTTGTCGTAAGTCGACGCAACCGCGAATTAAATTAAAACAGAAAGACATTTTAAATTATCGTCCTTGTCATGGATTCAATATTGTGCGACAGAAAGGCCATTGTTGAAATTCGTTAAAATTCTGTTGTGTTTGGTTTTATTGCTTCTTCACAAAAAGTACGGTTGAAATAAACGCAACTTGAGTCCGCAAAGATTTTCGCCGATGAGAAAATAGTCCGCGACCAAAAAAGGTTGGGAAACGCTGCGTTTAGCTACTACATACTGACATAAAACGAGATTTATCTACCGGGATAAGATTAAAGCGTCAAAAATTGATCACAATTTTTTATACCTTTTATCGTGTATAAGGAGTGTAAGTAATCTACTTTTGTGTTGAGGCTTGTTTAGACCCAGAATTTCAAACATGAATACGATGGGCACTTGCGAATTAGCTGATAGAGCATTTTAGTATTATTGTTAAGGTTTTGTCGGTTGCAAGGATAGTTATTCGTTAACCTTATCGTATATCGATTATTTGTTTGATTAGTTATTAGTTAGAAAATACGATTCGAACAGCATTGCCGAAAAGGTACAGTACGCTTAACAGCATGTATGTACTGAACAAATTGTCACACAGCCCCGATTACGTGGAATAGAATAATAGATAACTAACAATCTTCATTATGTTTATAACTAGAAAACGTTTGTATCATTGTGAAAGCTTACAATAAAAGTTGTACAATAATTCAGTGCAAAAATGTACTTACAAAATTGTGAAAGGGTGAACTTGAAGGAATCACGTGAATCTAAGTTGAACTTTACAAGAATAGTCATTATCATAATGGCCGGAGTTTGTATTGTCGGTACTTTGCAATTGTACACAAAAACTTCTTTAATTCCATCAGGTAATTTCTATCCGAGTCACTAAGTAATACAGTAATATTATGTGAATCATATATAATGTAGTCTAGCTTGGATGTTGGTGTGACAATAAACGAGTTGTTTCGTGCACACGTTGTGTAAGAGAAGAATAAGAGACACGAAATATTTTTTTCATATAAAACAAATAATTGTTCATGTTTGTTATTAATTATAAATAGCGGACGGAGGAACGTTTTTATTTAAAAAAAAAATTCAATATACACAAGTACGAAATTTTAATTTTCAAACATTCTAGATTCAACCACAAAAAGAAGTCTAACACGAATAGAACAATCGTTACAGGTATGTTTACTTCAATCTTTATGCCGACTAGGTGTGAACACCGGCTATTGATCATTCCCGTTAAAAATTAGAATCATTACACCGACGTATATACTTATAAAAATATTAATGTTTGAGAGTGTCTAATGTTTATTATTCACTTTCGCACCACATATTGTGCAGGAAGTACTCGATAACAAATTCGCAAGATTAGAGACTAGCAATTAACCTTAATCGCGGACAATATCAATTGGGCAACTTTATAATTACTTAACCTAATTGCACGCTTAAGTGCTTACAAAATAATTATTGAGCAGAAGTTCTTCATTACGCCGCGTTAAAGTTTGTTTATAGTTGGTAGATGAGATAGTATTTTGCTTGACGATGGATAATTGACGGAAAAAAAAGTTCGCAAGGATTGTCATTAACCACATTTTGTAATACTTCGATTATGGTAGAAATCTTTCGCATAGGATTCGGAAGAGGGTGGTTCAAAGTTTTAATGCTGGCACATTCACACACCAATGACCCTTTCGGCTAATTGAATATTTCTTCTACATCTTTTCATTCTCAAGGTGTTGTCTCATGAAATTAAACCGCACAAACTAGATTTGAATCGTAGTCTCAGATCCTGTTACTTTTTGTCTCCCAATCTATGTTTCATTCCATGTCTGAAAATGTGCGGCTATAATTTCCACTGATACAAAGTATATATAAGTGATATTGATAAATGAAATTATTACACCAATATCGGATAGGTCGTTAAGTCTCATGTGATCATACTTTTTGCGTTGATTGTCATGTGTCGCATACAGCAATATAAATCCAGCCCAGCCACTATGTAATTTTTGTAATTATCTTTGATATTTAATACCGGTTTATTTTGGGATTTTACATTTTTAGAAACTGTTCCCACTTTTAAGATCCTCTAAGGCTAAGCAGTCTAAGGTCTAAGCGACTTCAATCGTTCAACCCATAGTTGTTCCCAACCCTCTCTATGCATAACAACAAATTGATTGATTCAACTATACGTGGATTCCCAGCTAGTGACATGCGTAGGTCGCATTTGTTCAGAGGGAGGGAGCCATTCCTTCCTGACTTGGAAACGTACTTTAACCCAAGGTTTGGTTAGGGCGATATCGCCGACTTGTGAAGGGGGGAAAACGATTCGTTGAAGAGCACCGCAATGTGACATGAAAATATTTTCAGCGTGAAAGGTATTTTTTGCACAATTTAGAATATGTACGTGGATGTTCTTTGTGACGCAGTAAGTGGAGTATCAAAAAACACAAAGAAGCATAGCGACGTCGATATTGCTTATGAAAACCGAGTTATGACGTTGCTTCTTTTATTGCTTTTTATTTTAGATTACTCGAATCGAAACAATTTCCAAGAAAGGCTTCGGGAGTTATGGAATATCCCTGAAATTTCGTATGAGAAAAATCCCTCCTGGCAACACCACATCAAACATTATTGGATCCGATAAACTACGGATTGACGACAACAATAACGATATTCGAAATGTATTCAGATCGCAAGTATGTCAAAACAATACAGTTTGTAAAAGAAAACTGTCGCTTGAAATTTTGACATATATTTTCAAGAGGATAAATGACACCAGGTAATTGTTTTATAATACAAATTTATAATAATAGGAAGTATACAAATAATATTTAATTTCCCGTCGCTAACGCCACGCTCAAACAATGATACTATACCCTACAAGTTTACTATCGATAAGATTTAATTTAACATTACAAATATTTTCATACATTTTAATCCGTTCCACAGCTTGTTACCTTTCTGTATGGTTTAAGAAATATCATCAAACCTTATCAGGACTCTTTTTAAACTAAAACCAAATTAAGGTCTATAGACAACACAAAAAACTATTGAGAATTGAAATTTTGAATTTGGCTACTGTAGTATGATAAATAAATTGACGACTCATGATTATTCCTCTACACGAAGCGCTGCATAACTTTTGTACTCATTTTGTTTCTACAACTACTCTAATGTAGTAATATATTATCTGATATTCAGGTATAAAATACCTAACGTCGTTCATTATATTTGGTTCGGTTGCGAAAGAGAGTTCGACTTCTACCATTATATCAGTATGCTGACTTCAATCAGAAATCTGAAACCAACTGCAATAATTTTGCATTCTGATTGTGAACCTAGTGGCCTGTGGTGGGAGAGGATCAGGAAGTACCAAAAAGTTTATGCAGTTTTTCATTCACCGCCTACGAAGGTGAGAAAAATGGGAAATAAGTGTTTTGATTAATATTATTTATCACTTAGGGTGATGCATGCTTGTGTCGCTCTCTTTCTACCACAAGAGGGCCCTGAGAGCACAAACGTCCAGAATTCTCGAATAATAAGTATGCAAACGATCAGCGCAATAAAAGCAGTGTTTTTCTGCTCAATAGCCTTTTCTGAGTCCAATAAAATTAACGCTGTTCACTTAAAACATGAACTTGTATTATCCATTTAAATAAGAAAACAATTTGCAAACTTCTCCGAGGAGATATGCAGATGATTGACGTTCATGCAAATGCTTCAATTCTTGTGCTCAGTTAAGTCAAAAAATATAATACCATGCCTCAAGTGTCATTCAATTTACCGTGAAATTATATCATTTATTATCCGCTTTATCTACTGCGCTATCAACATTGAATATAAAACAGAAATTCGGATTTTTTCTACCTATTTTTTTTATTCCATAAAAATAAAATCCAAGACAAGCAAATCAACTGAAATTACATATGTATAACATATTCACTCAGCACTCTTTTAACCATAACATAAAATTCCACTTTTTATTATGTAAAGCTAGTTTTCCCTGATTAGTTGCATATCTTTTTTCGCTTTCTCTTACACTTTGGATAAAGATAACAAAAATACTAAAGATTTGAAGAATATGCTGCAGTTTACACCGATATATAAAAACAACGAGCACAAATTAATATACAATTTATGGTACTCCCCTAGTATGCGAACCAAGATGGCGGAACCGGAACGTATAAGTATGTGTATCAGGTTAGGCTAGGGTATCGGGTACGGGAGTCACTTGGCTAGTTCCCAAATTCGTAATAAAACTAAAATAAGGAAAATTGGAATAAAATTAAGGCCTAACCCTAACCTGGTACACATACTACGTGCCGGTGTCTGCCATCTTGGTTCACGTACAACGGGAGCACCCAATGTATTAACATCGTCAGTAATAAAACATAGGTATTGATTAACTCGTGCCCAAAAATGTTGCGTGCTTGGAGAGTTTTATCACAAAATCACATTTTCACAAAATCCAGAAAGATTTGAATTTGCCAAATTGAACCGCTGTCGTTATTTTGGAGAAATGAATTTCTTTTTTATAATACATTTATACGCTAAGCGGCACGTATTTTTACACAATGAACTAGATAAAAATGGAACATGTTTTGATTCTGTAGTGTAAACAATTAAAATCAACATTCCATCCAACTTTCTGGTATGCAGCCAATTAATTTATAATAGATATAATACTAATTTGCACTATATTCTATACCGAACTGTTCTATCAGTTGGAAATAACAGTATATATAAAGAATTTCTGTTTGCCAAATGATGTAATTCACATATTACTCGTTCATTCAAAGCTTTCACAAAAAATGGCATTCGTGCATATTGTAATTTCTTGTTGTACGGTAATGGTTCATTATAGAGTTGAATATTGGCATTAGCTGTTGATTTCTTGTACCAGTTACGAAGTGTATCCTTAATTGTTATTAAATGAAGACTTTTCATAAAGCGAGAGTTATATATATGTACCATAAATTTCCTTTAAATAAACAATATAGTTCTATTTTTCGTTAATAATAAAGTTCAATGGTATTCCAATTGCTTCTACGATATCAATTCCTCCACTCATTTTCTGGCCAATCAGTGTTTTACGTTTAAATCTTTCCCATTTTGAGTTTCAAAGGAAAGAATATATTAGAGAGTTCAAAGATTTTACGACTTTTTCGGGTACAGTAACCGGCAAAAACATAAATTGATAATTAAAAAAGAGATAGAATTAATGATTTGATTACACAAACTTTTTCTAGAATTGTTAAATTTCTCGTTCGGCAAATTTGGATTATGTTTTGTACTTGTTACAAACCATAGTTGCAAAAAATTCCATCACTTTTATTTTAAGATTTATGAACACCAATTGCATCGCGTTCATCACCAAGCGGATGTTGCAAGACTTGATATACTGCTGAAATGGGGAGGAATTTATTTAGACGATACTGTCCTTGTTGTGAAATCTTTTGATACTTTGAGAAATTATTCTGCTGTTTTACCATTCCAGGTATGACACACCGCCCTGTAAGTTTTTCGAGCAAAAATATCTGTATGACAACAGTGCAACAACTTTTAATTATTTCAAATATAATTTTAAATCAGGAGCACGGGCTGTTGAACAACGGTGTAATTTTGAGCGAGCGTAATTCCTCATTTCTGCAAAGGTGGAGAACGGAAAGTTACAAAGATTATAGGGAACAATCATGGGCATACAATTCATGTCGATATCCATGGAGGTTATTATTTTCTTTTTCCCTATTTTATTTAGGATTCCATTATAGTTATATGTGGTTTATATTATCCCTCATATGTATTGATGCGAAATAGGGTGGGAGATAGAAAAAATTATCGCCATATCTGAACAGAAGCAAAAGTTTTTCCTTTAAAGAAACTTAGTTTTGTTTGGTTTATGTAAGACGTACGCTCGTTAAACTTGTCCTCGTTTCCCCCAAAAGGCGTGATTCTCCATACTTCCAATAATATTATTTAAATAATAGGCAATGCACAAGCAATCGGAACTAAGTTCTAAATGTTTCCCACTGTTACATCAAGTCTTTTCACTCTAAACTACATGCTATGAAAAAAAAATTCTGAACTGAACGTCGGTCTCAAGCAAGCTTTCTAAGAACTTGCTTTGTTGCGCGGAATAGAAGGCCATGTGAGCTCCAAAAAAAAGGTCTGCGCGGAAAATTAGAAAAAAGAGAAAATAACACAACATTTTAAACGAACACAGAATTTATTTATCTTATGCAGTGCGCGGCAGAACGAAAGTGGGCATACTGCGCGGGGTTTCTCGGCCAGCTGCGCGGCCGCGCAGCTTAAAGGGAACGTTGGTCTCAAGTACGCGGTTTTGAACAGACTGCAAAACGGCATAATATTTACCCGCAGATCACGCGTTTGCTCACAAAAGCTTGTGTTCTAAGCACATACAGGCGATATGCATCATGAAACTCAACGATGGAATATAGACTTTGTTATATCATAACCTGTACGGCCCTGGAAATTAACTACGAGGTAACTTTATAAACATGCCTGAATTTTTTTTCTAGATTATGGGTGTCAAATGAAACGTCCGACATCCACGTCGAAATGACATCATTTCTTCCGAAATGGGATGGCTGGAAATCGGTGTTTTTAATGAAGTATCCCTATGAAAAAAACTACGCGATCCACCTATGGACACATCCTATTAAAAGGTAGTACTTATTTCGGACAATATATATGTTGCGTCTGTTGTAAGAAGAGTTCTTGAACGGATTTATATTTTGCAGACTGAAGGTGGAATTCAAATATCCTGGTGCCATCAAAACGATGGACACAACATTTGGTGAGATTGCAAGAAAAGCACTGTATAATACAACAAATTTCATGTCACATCGGTTAACATAGATTTGATGGCATAATTTGGAAAGAAATGAAAGGACAAATCACTAAACAAAATGAAGATAAAAATATTTCTAATTTATATTTTCTACCTCAAACACTTACTGTTACTGAGACATAAGCCGACAAGGTTGTACTTTCGACCACATATTTATCGCCATCAAATTTTTATTAAAATATAGTGTCATGTAATGAATTTCGATGGTAGCATTTATGTTATTTCGCTTGCCAGAAATAATAGTAAACTCCAAAGGTACGTAGGAACAATCGTCCCCCAGATTTTAGCAAAGGTTCAAACTATATTTCCTCTCCCCCGTAAACCCTATCCTATAAAATATACATTGCAGATGATTCTTTAGCACGACGACACTCTTCAAACCTGAAAAAGCGTAAATAAACGATCATGAAGTCACAAACAAGGATAACTGATTGCATTGTTCACGGCTTCCATAGTGACCTCGCTATAGTCCAGAACATGACTATACTAGCCGCAACTCAGATATTAAAAAAAAAACATGAAAACAAGCATGATAAAGAATTTAAATTCGTAGAGTTTATTATAACATTTATTTAACCTCATGAAATCGATATTGAGTGGTAAAAAATGGGATTTGGTAATTCACTTTCGGCAACAGCGCATATAAATCATATCATTTTAAATCGAATAAGCATATTCTTGTGTTTGTATTTAGAATGTATGATTAAAATATATTAAAAAATCATACCATGGTCGGTTGGTCGGACTGGAAAACAACATTGTCTTTACCAGCCACTGATGGTAGGTACTCATACTCTGGATCTTGATTCATGTCTGGTAACACAGATGAATATTAGGTTTGACCTACAATAAATTTAAATGAAAATAGAAATGATAGTGCCTGCTTGTTCAAATCACGTCGGGTTCACCAAAACATAGTGAGTAGACGTTAAAAGTCTCTATTTGATTTTATTGTAGTTTTCGACAATAGATACGCAATTATAAAGTATTTGAATGAGTCGTGCCGAATGGAACGCATATTTGATATTTCTGTGGGATAATAATCTGAGAGATTTTAATTTGTTAATGATTGATACAAAAATTGACGCAATGGAGTGTAAAATGATGAGGGCTGTGGAGCGCTGTCAACAGAAACATCCATCGTTGGCTCGTTTTGGTACTTTGACCAGATTGGAATCTATCGATAGGTGATTATTAATAGTATGTTTTTGCATAAAAATTGAATTATCATTCACATTTACTAGTACAATAAATGAACCCAGCTCATTCAGTTATGCTGTAACCCATATTCTAGATTCGATTTAGAGTCACTTATGTTAAGATCAATTTGAAATACTTGATTATAGGAAACAATGCTTATTTTATCATAATTTTTATAATTCTGCCATGTATATCATAATTGTCATTACTCATTTTTCTACGGTATAATAAAACTATATTTTACTTTTGTTCAAAAATTTGAAAAAATATACCAAATATATACTCACAAAACCAGGAGACAGAGTGAGACGACGATACCGATAATAGACAGAGTAAGATTTGTAGTTTTCTGTGATATATTTGCCTAAATATCATCACTATAAATGGTACAGATATTTGTCGAATTTATACGTACTTCGACTCCCGAGTCGTATCACCCAGGTCATACTATCACATGATGGCTTGGGTGGAAAAACACACAAAATATTACTTAAAATTATTTTAGCAGCATCCCCAACGTAAGTATCAGTCGTTAGCAGCTCTTGTACGTAGCGTATATCATTAGGCGGAGGGGCACGAATATTAGGAGATGCAGATACGCTCGTTGTTTTCTTCATTCACTTCTGATATGAAAATTTGAGTCAAATTTACCTTTGTTTATTATGATATCTTGAAAATACAATCATCACAATTCACAAAGTGACTTTGACTTATAATTATGGTAGAATAGATAATGAAGTTTAGCTTACTTAGCGTACACATAGACCAATAATGTGTTCAGAAAATATACCCAATCAAAAATAAATTATATAAACAGTTGTGGGATTCAAATTCTTTGTCAGCCGGTTCCTTCACGAAAGTTCTATTTTTTAGCCGGTTCTATTACATAAAATTCCGTGAGACGGTTCTATAGAACCGGTGCGAACCGGCTGGATTCCACCACTGTATATAAATCTTTATTAGGTTGGCACGAAGTATGACAAACGTAAATATTAAAACAGATGTAACGCACGCGAAAACAAAATTGATTTTTATGGCCCATATGTAAAGAAATTGTTTAAATGCATAAATGCATGTGACTGATGCATGATTGAATACCGTCATATGATTTGCTATGTCACAATTTCTTTTCATTTAGTGTTTACTCCTAGTTTAAAGTAGTTTTTGTCGAAGGAGAGCCTTAATGCAGCCCTACGGGGTGGCCTAAATTAGAATAAGATTAAATATTTGTTAAGACCTACCTTTGGTTCATCATACATTTTATTGCGGGCTCTAAATTCACAAAGTTCTGGCCATGCAATACTTGCCATCGTTAAACATTGATAAGCTTCCAGAATATATTACCATATAGGTTGACACAAGTAACAGATCGCGATTTCAATCCTACTTTATGCCAAATTTTATACGGCATATTCATATTAGAAGAGGTGGTAGCGAACTTGGTATTTGTATTATTTGTGAGTATGGGTTTATCGCTAGATCGAAATATCTCACGATTTTACAACGGAAATTGGTCAAAAAGTATATGAACGGCAAATCAGTATTGAAAGACTGATTTCATCTAGAATAGTTCGATCCATTTTGTGCCTGTCGGATTTATGTGTCTACTCGACTGTAACCCATTACTTAGACTCTTAGAGAATATTACTTTTTGATGCTGCGAGTGAGTACTTTTGTACATTCTGCTCGGCTCTCTTTTTGAGTTGTGGCTTTTTGTTTTGTTATTTGAGAGCGTTAATTTAATTTAATTATTTCAAGTAATGTGCCATTTGTTATCTAACACGGAACATTTGTATATATATATAATAGGATTCTCACTCGCGGTTCAATATCGCAAAATAGATCGCGATCGAGATTGCTGACAAGCACATATTTCACATAGAGTTGAAAATGTAAGCAGGTAGTCATCTGAGAGGTATATGTTTTGAGCATTGACATAATATACTGTTGATTAGGCCAATTTTGAATCATCTCATGCAAAGATAAAGACACCATTGCCGTTATAAACATACACGCAATAGTTAGCGATAAACAATAGCTTTTGTAATTTTGTCGATAGAATTCATTATTTTTTTATAAATACAAATACCGGTATTGCTTTTTTGGTACTGTAATGAAAACAAGAGAACTATGCTCAAATTTGCGCACTTAGTCCACAACGTACCGCAACCTTCACGACTAACGCAAACGTAACCGCCTCAAGGTGTGCAACTTTTGATGACGTAATCGCACGCAAAAAACGAATTCAATAGGGCCCACAACAGCTTTTCTAAATAAATAAAATTGATAGTCTTCTTGCGACGAATACAATCTTCCACCACTAAAAATTCCAAGGCAATTGGTCCTGCAGTTATTGATAAAAAAAGTACAACCAGAAGCAGAACACACTTCCAATCAAGTTAAAATTCGGGCAAGGCTTCATTCGGTAGCATGTTCAATTCGAGAATTACCATCAACACAAATCCTCGGCAATAAATAGGATTGTACACAGTGGGGCAGATTGTTCGACAACACAAGTAGCATATTCGTGATCGATTGCACTTTGTTGTCTTCGTTTTTGTGGCACAAACAAATGGAGATACGACAGCTATAGCCCATCCTTATTTCTCCGTCATTTAATACAAAAAATCTCGATTCTTGTCATTTTATTTTCAAGTTTACCTTTTCATGGCTGTTCTAATATTTCACAATTCTCCACAAATCGCAACATATTTTTTAGAATGAATTTTGTGACATTATTCATCACAAAAAACGAGCAATGGCCTTTACGCTGTCGGAATCATAAATGTGGTAATATTTTAGGAGAACTTATCCACCTACAGTTACACACAATGCATGGTTGTGAGTTGTGACAGAGCCTGAGATAGAAATCAGCAAATATATATTTTGTTCAAACCATGATTCTAGATCATAAATGTTGTGGAATATATTACAGGCAAGAAATATTATTATTTGATATCGCTTCTGCTTATATTAACCTAATGACTTATTCAGCTTTTCTGTCTCAGACTTTTATTTCTAGGTTCGGGCTACATTTTTTGTTAACGTTGTAGTGTGGAGCATCGTAATTTAGAAATATGTGACTGTTGTTGGAATTAATTTATACCAGACTCATAGTAATCGACGATTCTATTTATTGGATAATTAACCAGAGCCTTGATACTGAATATTTATGATATCACCGCGGATTGTGGCAACCAATTTGAGGCGAGGTATTTGAGTCCGCGGCCTCGGAATTGGGAAACATTGGTATACTATACACTATACAGTATAGTAGCCCATAACATTTGACGTTTAGCTATTGTCGCTAAGTGGCACTCTATGAATATGGTTCGACTGATTGATTTGAACGTCATGCCATATGCCATTAATTAAAGTATTCATATACAATATTGCCATTAATTAAAGTATTCATATACAATATTGATTTAGAATATATAATAATATTGAATGATATCTAAACATATTTTGATAAATGTTCTCTTGCGATTATGATGCGTTGAATCTGAGCTGTTCCTTCGTATATTTGATATATTTTTGCATCTCTCAGCAACTTTTCTACCGGATATTCAGTGTTGAATCCAGCACCACCGAAAATCTGTACCGCATCCGATGCGCATTTATTAGCGACATCACCAGCAAACCCTTTAGCAATTGATGCTTCCATCGTGTTTCGGAATCCATTATCTATTTGCCAGGCAGCTTTATGGGTGGCGAGTCTAGCAAGCTCAATCTGCATTGCCATCTCAGCAAGCATAAAAGAGACGGCCTGATGCTGAGCAATAACTTTTCCCATTGTTCTGCGTTGCAAAGAATATCTGGTCGCCTCATCTAAAGCCCTTTGAGCAAGTCCCACAGATCCCGATGCAACTGCAGGTCTAGTGTAGTCAAATGCTTTCATAGCAATTTTGAATCCATCTCCTTCGTTTCCCAAAAGGTTTTCTTTTGGTACAAGTACGTCCTCAAAAGTAATTCCTCTTGTATCTGAGCATCGTTGTCCCATATTCACCTCTTTTTTACCAGGAATTACACCAGGCGTATCGGCGTCAACTATGAAACCAGAAAGGCATTTTGATGCTGGGAATTTTGGGTCAGTAACGGTTCTTGCTAAAACGAAGTACCAATTGGCTACTCCGCCGTTTGTAATCCACATTTTCTGGCCATTGAGGACGTAATGGTCACCTTTCTTTTCAGCTTTTGTACTTATCGCGGCAACATCGGAACCGGCACCGGGCTCCGTGACCGCATATGCACACATCAGCGGTTCTTCATTCATTCGTCGTAAATATTTACTTTTTTGCTCGTGATTTCCTGCAACAACAACCGGAACTTGTCCCAAGTTATTTGCTTCGAACGCCGTTTGAACTCCGGTACAACCGTACCCCATTTGCTCTGTTACTATACAGATGACAAGTGTGGACAATCCTAATCCGCCGTATTCAACTGGGATATGCAAATTCATAAATCCTAGTTCATGAGCTTTTTTCAGTATTTTCCAGGGATAATCGCCCGTTCGGTCTAGATTTGATGCTTCCGGTATTATTTCCTCTGCTGTAAACTTTTTGACAGCGTCCTGAAACTCTCGTTGCTCATCTGATAACTGGAAGCACAAGCCAGAAGAGGAAGCTGCACTACTGGGGGGTTTGCGAGCCGCCAGAAGAAGCCTCTTGGTATAACTATTCCCAATACTACACAACAATCGGAAATTCGCACCTAGAGTATTCATTGTCAGGCGTCTGTTAGGCAAGCAAAATACTCGTTATTAATAATCGGTAGAAAAAATTGAATAATCCACTTTGTGGAAGCATTAAAAACGAGGGAGGCTCCCAATTAGCCTAGTTCATATGTCTAAGAATTTATGATTATTGCAATGGCTAGCAGCAGGGCTGGATTAACCACTAAGCAAAATAAGCGCGTGCTTGGGGCGCCAATAATTCGAGTTGGTCGACGACACAGACCTCGACATTGGCCTATTTTTCGTTCTCAAATATCATTTAAAACCATTCTATAAATGTTTGTAGGTATGAGGACTATTCCCCAAAAGAACGCCAGGTTCATTATTGCTACTTAAGTGCTTAGGCCTTAAGTAAGAGTCCATAAATTTTTTTTATTAATATCTGGGTTTTTAATCATCGATCTCTCGTAAGGAAATGTGCGACAGGGTGGCGAAAATACGTAGTAGTTAAGAGTGTAAAATACGTAGTTCCTAGAGTTTTTAATCGAAACAATTTCATATAAGCAATTGAAATCTTTTCTTTATAAGGCGCTACGCAATTTGTGAAAAGGTAAGCGAAAGAACGTACAATCTATGGATAACTGAAAAAGAGTGAAATAATCCAACTCATTGCAAAATAAAATGACAGCTGACAGAAATGCTTCGGGTTTTACATAATATCATGAAAAACCAAGCTTGGATATCTTGATAAGCAAAGAATTCAAAGCAAGGAATACCATTAACTAGAGAAAATTTGAATGCGGTAATCTGGCATATCAGTCGGAGTGTTTTCAAACCCTATTTTGAGTTTTGTGGAATTTTCTAGTTTCTCGTGGCACGCATTTGTTTTGTTTGAAACGAGTAATGTTTTTCACATGCTGACGACGAAATCGATGTTACATTTCCATTTGTAGCGACGCTTACCGAGCTTAACACACGCATTCGTGAGACATTGAGACTGTTCATCTGTCGGAATAGGGTGCAAGAAACCACTTTTAATTCGTTTTGAAATTTTATTATTGTTACTGCAACGGAAAACGAGAACGGCCTGAGGGCAATTCACTTGAAAAGATAATAGCTTAACATGGGATTGGCTATTTCTGTGCATTAGGTTTCCGCAATATATCTGCACTATGACTAAACAAAGTAGGCTAGTCAAATAAGTTATTCAACAAAATACGCCAGGAAACATGCAGTTCACATTGAGGACAACACAAGCACTAAGCTGGCTCGGATTTATCTGCTAGTCCAAGTTAATGAAAGTCCGGGTGATTTAAGTCCCTAATATTTATTAAGACAATGATGCAAAATTAATCAATGATAATACAGTTTAAACGTAAGATGGGATAGTCCACTGTCCTATCTTTCACTAACGAACGTTCCCAGGAATAACACGAATTGCATTTTATTATCAAGCATTACATTAACTTATACTGATATAACGGGTTACGCGTTTCACATTACTGACTCTCACGTACATGCGAGCTGTACATCTGTATTAACTCGAACACGTCCAAAGAAATAACCTTCCCTGAATAACTATAAAGTCCTGTCATCAAATAAAAATGACATTTTCACTTGTCCACTTCTTTGCTCGACTTATTTCTGTATTGCGTTTACAAGTTTAGTGGTTAGTCCAGCGTAGGCACAATGCTTCGGTTGATAAACTAGTGTGGCGAGAAAAACCTCTGTGGACTTCGTACACTGTAACTATACAGGGTCAACATTCTCTGTGCTGTAACTGCGTCACGGCCCAATTATTATTGACCAAACGCGGTTCAGACCAAAACAAACTTAAAATACCTCGACTATTATATAATGGTCATGTAAATACTAAGCACGAAGTCGGTATTCGTTTCCCTTGTATCGGAGGGCGTCTTTCCCGCGCCTCGTCTCGAGAAATGTTTTCTTATCGTGGTTGGTCGCTAACAAAGTGACTATAAACCGTCGCTAACGTCGATGCTGTATTGCAGTGCATCGCAGACATGCTTTGCCGAATGCCGACGCAATATAAATGACTACGTTTCCTGTACAGTACGCGACAATGTGGCTGTATATGCATTGTATATTGTATTCAAAATATGTTATCGATATTTCTATGAGTTGTGATAGACAATGTTTTTTTTATAATTAAAATTTCATACGTGAAAATTATAATAATAATATAATAATTTTATTTCGATATAATCTGAAAAAATTAATTCAAATGAATTAACTTATACAGTCAATGTTGTTTATGCACATTATTACGTACAGGTATAGACTACACTACATTAACAGAGTTTGTATATATAGATTATAGTCCTACTGATATCAGAACTTAAAAATAGGAAATTAAGTACCTATGTATAAAAATATATATTGATACTGTGATATAGGCCCATGTAATATGTTCCAATTCCAGAATTGGTTAAAATTCAGTCTTTTGTTTTTTTCCGCATTCATAATATGTTAAAATAATTCACTGTACCATGATGTAATAAATCAACACTTGAATATAGTCTACATGGCGGGAATAAGGAAGAATCTACTTCATGATTTCAGATATGCCTAAATTTTTTATTAATTGTTTTTGTCCATATTTTATTGTTTGATAGCCAATCTCATTAAAATGATTTAACTTAGGATGCTAGAATTAGATTTGCAGATGGAGTACATTTGGTGACTGAACATTCAGACATTGTCAGATTGTTATGATGCACTGCATATTACGAAGATGTATCTAGTTTTATTGCTTTGTAAGAATCAAAGTTTCTAAGCTGCCTCATCCAGTACAGCTTTGCTGTACTCAGGCACTGTGTGTGCATGCAAATTGTTTCACATGATGCATTTGTGCGTATTCTTTTGGAACAGTAATGAAAACAGCTGTATGCTTGTTCAACAGAAAGATGTACACGAGAATGCTAGGAAAGGTCTATGGCTGCCAATTGTACATATATCTTCTTCAGAGGTATGTTAATTTCTATAATAAATCATTATTTAATTTGCAGTTTGTAGCTTACTTACTTATGAATGGTGTTCGTCTGTTCGAGTATAACAACGGAGCCTTGACAGCGTTCAGGCTGCTTATTGAGCATTGGCTAAATCCTAAAACCAAAAGCATTTGACATTCTCCTTGTTGTACAATAAAAAAAATTCTTCTGTTTTTAACTGTTTTTTATCAGTTATTTTATTTGCCCTGTTTAGTAGTTGAAGGCAACTGATGGAAGTAAAACAATAAATACATGACCGTTAATGAAGAATCAAACAAACACAGTTTTTAATTGATGTAGTCATCACAACCCCCCCATAAAAACACATGAGTTTGAGAAATCTGAATTACATTTCTTATTCTCTGGGAAGAGCTTGAAGGTTTTATTCTAAACATTTTTTTCTATTTTATTAAGTAAATTTCGTATGCTCAGCTATATATTAAATTCACTAATTTTTTGAATTTATTTTCATGTTATTTCACTAGCTTGGCATGTCTTTTAATGTATAGTGTTGTAAGATTATACAAGATTGTTTAATATCATGGTTCAGAAACATGAATATCTCTGCAATTCTATTTATTATCTGATTATTTTTAACAGTCTGTGACATTTGCAAATATATGTGACTTACTCAATCAACATGAAAGTCGATTTGAAGTATCTTCGTCCGGAATTTTGGAATTCAGAAGGATGCCAGTAATAGAAAACATTGTAGATAATGAGGTAAAGGAGAAATGGATCGTGACATGTATTGCCTATGTAACAACAAAATCCAATGAAATGTCAAATCAAGATACAACTCCTACTATGGACACAGAACCTGAAATTCAAAATAAAGGAATTTGGTTGCATGAATCAGATATGGTGAAAATGGTCTCACAAACATCTTCTAATCGTTTAAACGAATATCTCTTTGGACCTGAGCCTTTATATATGACACAGCAAGCAAAATTGGGCACATTGAAAACTTTGCCTTTTGAAAGCTTTTGTGATCTATGCCATACATTTCCAGCAGCAACGAATTTTGAAGACGGAAACTTGCCAACTTTGTCGCAAAATATTGCACCAAAACATGGTTCAAAGTTGAGTAATGTAAAATTGTCCCCTACAAGTAAAAAAACAGATGTTACACTAGCCAGTGGCACAGAATTCAATGAAACTCAAAAATTTGAGTCTGCAAGCAACTCACAATTAATGGAGAATAATAAATTGCCTCACTCCTCATTTATAAGGACGAGATTACAAAAACTAGACTCAAAACTTACTCCGGAAGTTCAAGCAAAATTGATGAGACTCTCAACGATTTCGGATGAGGAGATTGTGTTCTTAAGAAGAGTATTTTACAAATATTCCTTCCCATCTTGTACTCTCAACCAGAAGACATTTTGTAATCGTTTTTTGCCAGAAGTTTGCCAGATTAATGATGAATTTCTTTCATCAGATTATTTCAGGTTTGGTAAAAAAATTATTTGTGATTTTTACTATTTTTTTCTCTAATTTCGTTAGAAATGTTTATGAGTACTGAAATATGAAATATCGTATATAAAGATAAACTGCCACTAGCACTCAAAATGCTGGTATATCACTGTCCGTTCATAGCTACGTGGATTCGTGACATTTTGTTGAAGTTTTACCAAATTTTACCAAAATAGAGGAAAAACTGGTTTCAGAGCTAGCAGAAATTTTACTGACTCCAGCTCAATTTGAAACAGGACTTTATGGAATCCATAAATCTTATTTTACAATACAATTTTGAAAAAGAGTTAAAATAGATTCTCAATGATTTCTGAATTATAATTATTTTTACAAACTGCTGTAACATGATGTTGAATATCCGATAACTCTTTCAGAGCAGTTTCTCTGGTCACCGATCAATATCCTTTTGTCACATTCAATGAGATATTACTCGGCGTTGCACTCATGCAGCCTACGATTCCACATGGAGGAAAATTTGCAGAACAAAGGTTTGTTGTAAGTTTAATTAAAATTCAGTTGAAATTTGCTTATATTTTTATGTGAATATAAAATTATAGAATTGGTCTTTGTATTTTACAGATGTCGATGTATATTCCGGTACTACAGCAGATCAAGTAATGACTTCATGAAGTCAGAAGAATTCATGTAAGATAATACATACCTACCTAAGTTCAAATGAGATAAAGAATTGTCTGAGTCAATTGAATTAAATGTTTAAACTGGTCTGATATATTCATTCATTTGACTTCAGGAGAATGCTGACAGATATAAGAGTGTCAAAGGGGAAGGAACCTTTAAAAGAACAAGCATTAATAGAAGAAGCAAAACGAACAGCAAGGTCTGCTCAAATGGTGTTTGTTTAAAAAATCCATTCTATTTGTGTAGACATCTGTTCAAAGCATGATGAAATAGTAACTTAATGTAGTTTTGATCAATCACAAATTTTATATCCTTTCAGACACTTATTACCGATAAATCATTAAGGTGTAATTGATAAGTATACTTAAACCCTTTTAGATACATAATTACCAATACATCATCAATATATACAAAAGTATTTGTTGACATGCTTCCTAATCATGTGGGCGATGTGACCTCAATTTCGCATGATTTTTATGTAACAAGTGGTATACCATGTTATGAATAAATTTGGTATTTACTTTTCAATATCATCTACATTCAATAACTGTCAAATTATGAACATTTAACTGGAAGTATTATTTTTATAGGTTGTTCGGATGTGAAGCAAGAGATAACCTACCATTAAACGCATTTTTGGAAACTGTTGGCCAACTTAAGTTTCGTGGTACATCATCTATATTTAGAATGACAAACAAACCATGGTTGGATGCCATGAAATTGTGTGAAGCAACAAGTACACCAAGGTGAATAGATATAAATAGTATCGTAAACCAACTACATTTTTTTTCATTTTCAAGACTCATTTTCTTCACTGTTGGAAAAAATTATCTAGATTAATGTTTTGTTTTTATAGAAAACATATACATGTCTATCCATCACTTGGTTGGGCTTGGGCGATTCAAACGTTTGGGGATTGAGTACATTTTTTGTCCTAATAGTTGTTTGCTGAGTATGGATTGTAAAACTCGTAAATGAATCGTTTCTTGATCAGTAATATTTTCTAGTTGGATGATTTGGTTACTTGAAGGTAGAGAAATTTTTAATGACACATCGCCTTTTCCATTATTGATGATTTATGGTTTAGGATATGTCGGTAATGGATTCCTGGCTTTTTTGCATCTTATTTTCACAAAATATTTAAATTCAGGACACTGTCATAAGGCATATATCGAACATTATTGCATTTCTTGTTATGGATTTGACACTGACATTAGGAACGCTTTTCCCTTCAATTTTATGTTAACTCCCAGGCCCCATGTACCTTTAACTGCACAAGTCGATTGTTGGGCAATGTAGCCACCGTTCGCCAGATTAGTCATTACTCATTGCTCTCTTGTTTTTACTTAGAAATGCAGGTGCACAGTCTAGAAAACGTGTTAGAAGTTGTGATGATATATCTTCAGATGGAATGAAATCGTCATCTTCGGGAATGAACATCGCAGATGAGGGTATTATGTATTTTTAGCCCACATAAGGTCACAATATGTATCAAAATGAATAGCTAATATGTTCTATCTATATATTCAAAACCAAACCATTATTAAAGATGAAACACAGGGGAAGCTCTCAAACCCTTCAAGATAAATCACAGGGGCAACTAGAGCCAGAGCTGAACTATCTGACTCTTATCGAGCAAACATCGTTAAAAGGACACTCTCTAACGATCATGCAATTTATTTTATCATTTTTATAGTGCTAGATTCACTGTGATTTTGTTTTAAGGAGATTTAGCTTTTTCTTAGTCCAACTGTGAATTAAGGAAGTTAATTTGTTAGAAGAGTATCATTTTTTAAATATTTTATGTTCGACAAAATGTTAGTTAATAGAGTTGGTATTTCGATTTGATGTTGGAGATTCTATTTTTAGTGTGTTAAGTGTCCTAGCACCTTCCTTAAATATAAGTTTACCATATCATTTTGGTCATCAATAATTTTTCATATTAGATATTAAAATTTCAATGCATTTTGGCAGATGAGCCTCAATTAAAACGCATATCCAAGGAATGTGAACCATATCAACTCGCACTTCACTCAGTTAAAGTTCGCAGAACTGGAGCAACTGTTGAGGCCAAGGCATTGTGGGACTTGGGACAAGGGGAATGGGTAAGACGATGCTCAGTTTGAATTCTCTCATACATTGCTTATTCACGCTTTCCACTCAGACAAGTACTTCTTATTTGGAAGGACTGGAATCTTTCCTGTTTTGCTTGGTCAACCCAATTTATTACATAACCCTGTAAAGAATAAGGGTGTGGGATTTGAACCAAAAATGTGATAGTAACACTATAACACAGGTAAATTAGGTTTCAAGCACTAGGCCTGCAATTGCTGTGGAATTTCTTATATTCTTTATTACTACTATAATCAATTTTTTATTCACACATTCTATACTACTTGAACTGGTGCGGGGGGTGCGATTTTCGCATAATACTAGGGCTAGGCTAAGGATCCATTAAGTGTTGAATAAATGAATCACATTTTATGCATATTGAGAAGAAGAATCCAAAATAAGCGGAGGGAGGCCATTGCATACCCCAAATAATAATATTTTTTTATATGATGTTTTGTTTCATGTCCTGTGTATTCAATCCAAAGCTTTCGCATTGTCCATACTTGAGAATGTCTGTTAGACACAAATACAATAGCAATCTTTTATTTAACAAATTGGTCAAATTGAGATAAATAATGAAATTTTTTTGCTAATTAAATTATGGACTGTTGTTTTTGCTGTCAAGACTTCTTTCAATGACCAAAGTGAGAAAAATTCATTCATTCAGAAGTTTTTAATTTTGGATATTCTTCAAATTTCTTCAGTTAATTGTATATCGTAATTACTGATATATTGATTTATTACATGCAGCATGAGAATAATTCTGACAATCCAGCCATAGAAGATAATGTTTGTCCTCCATTTCAAGCAGAAAAGTTGAAGTTTCATAGAACAGCAAGTTTGAAAGCTTTTAACAAAAGATCTCATGGAAATGAAATGCTCAATGGTTTGCAATATTTTGAACGCGGAATAAAAAAAAGTGTTGGAGGTGAGAGTTTTCCGTATATCAGCGATTCTTAAACTTTCATGATCTTCTGCAGACTCTCGCCACGCCTGCTCTACATTAAAAAAAGATTATCTACCATAATCATCGAATATTTCTACACAACTGATTTTTACATATATGATGTGCCACATGTTCAAATAACATGAAAAAAAATAGCCTTTCATAGCATATTTATAAAATCCTAAAATTTTTATCTACTTTAGGCAAGGAGCCATTTTCATGGGGTGAAGTTGATATGGCAGCTCTAGCAAAATGTCTACTTGCCGTATGCAGAGAAGCAAAGACAGTATTGATGCGGGAACCTAGGTTTGCTTATGATTATTCAATATTGTATTATTTTCGAAAAAAGCAAAAAAAATTCAAGTGATAGAACTTTAATTACCTACTGGCTACTTCGCTAAATACAGATAAAATATTCTCATAAAATTTAATTTCTTTTTTAGCAAATATTTGCAGTATTTTTTGAAAGTTTCTACAGAATACTTTCATTTTTAACTTTGGATAATAAGGCAGAGCTAACGAGAATAGAGTTTGCTAAAGCTCTTATTTTATGAAACTCTTATGTCTGAACTATGTGGTAAGACTATATATAAAAAGCATGTTTGATCAATTCTGTTTCAATGCATTATCAAAAAAACTGGGTATTTCAATACTTGACAATGCATGGACCAAGTAGATGTATTTATGGTCATGTATTATATTTGAATTGCTGCAGACTTCTCAAAATCTCTACTCCAGCTTACATTCTCGGTGATCTTCATGGAAATTATCGTGATCTTGTTTGTTTTGAAAAATCTCTTTGGAGAGTTGGCCCACTGTTGACTCCTTGCAAATTTCTTTTCCTTGGAGATTATGTAGACAGAGGACAGAATGGAGTGGAGGTAATAAACTCTATATCTTCAATTAGATTACTTGCCACTGTAGCTTTTAACTTTCCCTCTGCTTTTGTAGTATTGTATCCTTCTGCACTGATTGAGAGAATACTATAACAAGAATCAAAAGTCTATATTAAGTGGTTCAGATGTCTTGCACCATACTTTCAGACCTCTTTATACGAGCAATGCGCAACAATGATTGGTTAAAGTTTGTGAAGTGTCATGGAAGAAATTTGAAGCACTTGATATTCATTCTAACAGGGCAATGCTCGAGTAGCCAATACTTATTAGCTACCTCCACTTTAAAGATATTTTATCTGGTGATTATGGCAAAAAAAGTATAAAGTGTTTCAACTCTATGCTTCCTGCGTGTCAAAAATTATCCATACACATTGCCGAAATTTTTCAGTTAAAATGTACTTCTTGTCTTGTTACTAATAATTTAATACTGTAGCCTAAACTCATATTTTATTTTACCTATTCAAAGGTTGTGGCATATCTACTTGCACAAAAAGTTCAATGCCCCAATAAAATATTTTTAACTCGTGGAAATCATGAAGTTCGTGAAATTCAGCTCTCATTTACATTTCATGAAGAATGCATTAATAAATTTGGAAAACAAGTTGGAAAGAAGGTTTGGGAAGCCATCAACTCTTGCTTCGATTGTCTTCCATTGGCAGCAGTAGTGGATGACAGGGTAAGTGGCGAAGACCTTCAAATGATTTGTTTTTATCAAGTGAGGACTTGCTAGTAATAAAAGGCTTTTATGAGTATTTATTACCCTGAATAGATTGTTAGATGATTGTGTAACGTGTAACATTGGAAATAGATGTTTGAAATGAGTGTGTATGGAGGTATTGATCCTAGTGAGTAGTGACCAAGACAGGGGTGTGCGGCCCGAGGGCCAAATGTGGCCCACAAGGAAAAATTGTGCGGCCGCGAAACTAGTTTTTGATTTGGTTTAATCTAGTATGTGCGAGTATTTCCAATCCCTTCGCGTTGCAAAGCCTATACCCGAGTTCAATTTATTATCTGTGCTTATGACCTCAACTTGCCCTAACAGTTAGTTTGTGTGAGGCAAACAACACAAGTCGTATCATCAATAACCAAAATTTTTGTGTGTGCAACTACTAGAATGCATATATTAAATAAAGGTGCGGTCGCGGCTTCATCCAGTTATTTATATTTGACCTTACTGTGTTAAAAGTTGCTCACCCACAGGCCTAGAGGTTAACACGTTAGACTTGGCTATGACTGCATTTCTGCTTAAAATACCTGGTTCAAATCTTACCTCACCGTGCATATGATATATTGGGTAGGCAAAGACGAACTGAAAAGATCTCGGACCTTCCAAGATAAATATCACATCAACATCTGCTTATGTAGAGCCTTATTCGGAGCGAAATACATTTAAATACATCATATGAAAAATTGCACCAGTCAACATAGTACTGTTATTTAAACATTGGTAGCAGTAGCAATATATAATACTGAGTCCCACATATAGACTTTCTCTTTCAGATATTTACAGTTCATGGTGGAATACCAAGTTCCACGTTTTATCCTGATTCCACAATAGAGGAAGCAATTAATAGAATACCTAACACGATCACCAATCCTGAAGTTCAAAGTCCTCTTGCTTGGGAAATGATGTGGAATGACCCAGTCAGGTTCGGAATATGAAATTGTGGTTTAGTAAAGGGCATGGGATTTTGGAGTTTTTTTTAATTAATACAATTTATGCCAGAAAATATAAAGAAAATGCTCAGCCCAGTGGTTCTCAAACTTTTTTTTCTCGTGGCCCACTTTTGTTGCACAAAAACTTATTCGTGTAAGAAAAAAACTATGAGAAAAGCAAAAAAAGGTCTTTTCGTAAAGATAGACACTTCCACTTTAATAATTAAAAAGCGAATTACCACTCTGTAGCAAAAACAGCATCATCATTCATTGACACTAAGATTAAAGTTTAACTAATTTTCCAATACCTTTAGCAATTTTTAATATGTTTGTGGTCCAACTGAAAATGTTTCTGTGGCCCAGAAGTGGGCCATGGCCCACTGGTTGAGAACTGGTGGCTTAGTCATACTATGCTATGCATCATGCCTGCTGAGCATGATGAATGAATATCGCCGTATCAGTATATGCGTTTTTTCATTGGTATCAGTATAAGCAAAAAAGTAGAATCGTTACATTTCTAGTGTGACTGTCATTGTTTGCTGAAATCTTGTTGTAAAGGACAACGTTTTTAGATATGACTGGCTAGAAGCCTGCTATTTATATTTTAATTTGAAATTAATGAAGCTAATTTTTGTCCTTACACAGGGAAAACGAGGAATTACCCACAGCAGCAAAGATCCAACTATCTGTTAAGGAGGGTTTTGTCAATAATTCTAGGAGAGGGACAGCTAGTATGTTCAGCACAGAAGCTCTTGAAAGATTCTTGTTGAAGCATGATTTTAGTCATGTGATAAGAGCGCATGAGGTTCAACAAATCGGATTCAAGGTATTTATTGACACGAAAGAAAGTCAAGCTATTGTATTTCTATTTCTTTAAATGATCAAGCTAAGTTATCAATAGGTTGGTTACTATTATTGTATATGTGAAGAAGTTATAACAATCTTTTATTAGCGGTGATTTGTCATTCAACTGTAACGAGTTTTTTAGAATTTCCAATACTATATCCTCAAATCAGTGAGCATTTTCTGTCTGAGCAACTAATTTCATTGATCCTGGTTGGGGAGACTGGTTAACTTTTCAAAAGACTTGATGTGACTAATTCACTTCTCCAACTCTTAATAACTTGAAATAGCAAAAACTAACTAAAATACATCAACATAAAAATATTGCCAATACTTTATTGAACCCTGGTTTGACTTTACGATAATGTTGGTTCGCCGTGAGCTGGAAGTATTAGTGTCATCTGACTCCATTTCACTTCCATTAATAATTTCTACTGTAATTCGGACTCGAATGATCCATGGAACTTTTCATCCAATATTGCCTGACACGCCATGAAATTTCTCACACAGGTGCAACAGCGAGGAAAATTACTTACTGTATTCTCGTCATCACATTATTGCGGAGGATCAAATGAAGCAGCTTGTATTTTGGTAGATGACCGAAAAATTCGAACGATTAGACTTGATACAACTTGAACTCTTCATTATTTTCAAAATATTGTTCATATTCTTTTCAATATATACAGGTCTCTACATAAATGTAAGAATTTTACCATAAATAGTTTGGTTTTCACCATTTGTATGACTTAACCTAACCCACTCTTTTACTCTTCTTTACACATCTGAATGATCTGCTACATTTCACATTACATATACAGCATAAGCAGATGCACTTCATGAAGCATATTGGTGCCTAAAACCTTTTTTTTATTATAAAAGTTTGTGTAGAAATTTTCTAAATGAATAAATGAAGTGTTCCCAAAGTTTGTGGTTAGAATTATATGTTGGGACATAGGAGATATGATCAAGTTACGCTTTTCAGTTGAATAACGCTATTGTTTTGCCTCAACCTCAACGTGGTATGGTTGCAGAGGATTGCAACCTTCATTGATGAATATTTAATATGTAAACCCTGGGTTTCTGTAATGGGGATTTTTGAGCTTTGGTAATACCTGACCCGGTTCAGGTGTTCCTTACTATGGTCAGATACTAGTTCCTTTACTTCTAGGTGTACACAATATCGTTTCACAAGGTTTTAATAGTACCTGTTAAAGTTACAGGATTTAGAGAGTTTCACTAAATGGTGCTAAGTTGGAGACCAGATGCTATGCTTTGTTTACTACATTCAACGATATCTGATAGCACCAACAGCGCAGAAGAACATCTTTTCCATGAAAGTGCCCAAGTATACCCCCATATCCTACGTGACCTGCCAAGTCGCGAATTGAAAAAAAATATATCAACTTTTTAGTGACAAAAATTAATAATAAAACAGGTCTTAATCAAAGTGAACTAATAACGCAGACCCAGGGATGTTAGAATACTACGACCTATGAATATAATTTTTAGTGTTCACAAGAATATCGAATTTTTGAAGGGCGTCACACTTTCTCGCTGCTGCGATGCGGGACGTTTCGATCAAACTTTATTTACACGTTTCTGGTGTGTGTGGTATGGTCTAAAACAGTGATTTTCAAACTAGGCTTTTAGAGTCGCATGCGGCTCTCAACAACCCTTCTTGCGGCTCTGGTTAATGCTTTAAAAATTGATTACTTTCAAAAAAAAATTTTCATTGAAAGCTAAACATCGACTTGAAATTAAAATGCTGAAGTCTAATAGTTAGTTAGAATGGATTCCCCCGTGTTTATCTGCGTGGCGTTGACTATTCGACAAGATGCAATAGTGACGCAACAGTGGGCGTTTTCGCAGCCACTCGGACACTTTTCACTTGGAAGGATTTCATCATGAGACATGGCTGTGATCACTGGCTCGCTTTCGTGGATTTTTCAGTTTTTGTCGCATTTCCGAATATTATGTATGAATCAAATATCTCAATGATCATTACAATTTATGGAGAGTTTACGACCCGCTTTGACAAACTTATTAGAAATCAAAGCCAAATTAAATGGCTGTTAGTCTAGGGGTGGGCAAAATCGAATATTTTTTCGAATCAAATAATTTGAATATTTTTAACGAAAACCGAATGGTCAAATAATGATTTTTTTAATAAACATTTTTATACACAACAGCGATCCAAGTCGGCAATAAAGCGATATTTTACTTGTTAATAGTTAATTTCATCGAAATCGCTGATTGTCGTTGTCACCGCGATCGTTTCGGCGGCGATATCCTAAAGTTTGTAATCTATATTCCTGTCCTTTCTCGTAATTTGCATGTATAGGGGGTAGCCGGATATCGAAGATTTCTATTTTACCCGTGCGTTCACATCGTCGACAGCTTTTGAAGACATTATTAAGGACTGATTTCAAACCCAAATTAATTTTATTCTGAGTTTTATCCTTGATCTTACTTATCACCGCTTGTAAATTAACCGTGCCTGTTTAAAGTGAACGGTAACCGAGATGCAGATACTTTGTAAAACGATACTTGAGTTTCTCGTGCTGTGGTGTTCGTGTTATTTTAGTATTAGATAGATAAACCTTGCAAATCTGCGATTACGTGAATCCTGAATGTTGATTTAAAATAGCAAATAAATAAATGGGCAATAAAGGCATTTCTAGGCCTTTGGGTCTATAAGAGGGTCAGACGCTAATTATAACTAATTCCTTCAAGTTTTACCTTTTTTTTTTACAAAACAACACCCCGACGGTTATTATAGCTAAAATACGTACTGACAAATGCTGAATTTTATTTACGGAATTTGCAAATTTAGCACTACACTTAATGATTTTGATTATGTTGTCATGCCTTAATTATTACTGCCCAAATTCTTCAAAATTTTAAAAATGAAATCGGGTCATGAGAGAAATGGCTAATGACATGGAGATAAAAATCTGGGAAATTTGTTTTATATATATATATATCTGATCTGGTTTGACGTTTCTGAATTTACGGGACGGTCTGTACGTTTTTTGCAAAATATAGGATTGAAACGATACGTTAAGTGCAAGGAAAAGAATATAACACCAGGACGCAAAGACAACGACTTTTCAAATTTGTCGCTATTTTCTGGTAGCTAGCGCCGTGGGGAAATCTCGCACAATTCACGATTGAGTTTGAGACGCGCGAGTTCGGTGTCCAAGCAAAGCGGCGCAGGTCACGTGGTACCGGATAATCGAATAGTAAAATGCCATTCGATAATTTTGCCGAGCACTAGTTGTTACGATGACTTGGTATTTTAAATATGTGATTAAGTTTTGTTGCTATTTTAACTCGCGTTGTTTGTGTGCGGCTCTTCATAACTCTGAGGTTTGAAATTTGGCTCTGGGACTAAAAAAGTTTGACAACCACTAGCCTGAAACCTTACCAGAGCACGATGCTCAGTCTTCAGCAATTATTTTAATCGTTATCCAGGTGTCATTGTAAATAAAATTGTTCTCTTTAAGTTGGTTCAATTTGGGAGCAGATATAGTGCCGATTACAGCAGCATTGAACGTACCTTAATACCTATATGACGCAGACGGTCGACGGATAGTGTTAAATATCTCTAAGACTCTTAACCCACTCTTTGTTTTCCATGGTAAAAATATAATTTTTAGAACCATTCAATACACCAGGTTCGCCATCACCAACCTATATCAGTCTGACCCATTGCTTTAACTGGAGAATGCAACTAATAAAAAATAATACGCATTTATCATATCAGCATTTTATTTCAAAATTTTTGAAATTGTTTCTTTGCTGCTCCTGAAGCTTTGTTCACCTTAAGAACATTGAAGCGAACTGTCTTGCTCAATGGCCGGCATTCTCCAACCGTTACAATATCGCCAGGATTGACATCCCTAAACAAAATAATTGAGGTTAAAAATATGCATGGCATCTTTTTTAACACACATAATAGATGGAATCATCTTTTTTTCCCTTACGAGGCAGGCGGGTCACACACATTCGCTTAGTAATAAAGGCACAAATAATCCTAGTGTCAATAAAATAAAAATGCACAATAACTGAATATATTGGGTACTACCACAGTGTGTGAGCAGGTTGGGCCATAGTTATATTCCGATTTTCCTTATTTTAGTTCTATTACGAGTTCGGGACTGTCTGTGTTAGCCAAGTGAATATACCCCCTGCCCATAGGTTTCAGTCCCTTTACATGACTTGATGTAAAGTAGGGGAACAAAATTAGTTACCGCCATATTAGAACACATACTTCTGGAGCGCCATATTGAATGTCTGTTGATGTTTACAGTATGAAATTTCCGAACTTTCAAATCGCTGATAATGCATGCATTCATATTCTGCTCAAGTTAAACTGTTATCCACAGTAAATTAACAATATTAGTAAAACTTTTGTTGGTAGATGTTATTACAACTAAGAAAGAACAACAATTCAGAACAATACAAACCTAAAACATGGCGACAAGTGAACAGACATGTTCCTGTGTCGTTTCTCATATCTATTATATTTCTTGATATAATGTAGATAGTCACGTCGAATAACAATAGTTCTCTGCATCTTCATTTTACGGACGACTCCAGAGAGAATTCGGCCTCTGATTTTTACATTTCCGGTGAATGGACATTTTTTGTCAATGTAGTTGCCTTCGTATGCCTGGATATGGAAAAAGTGAAAAATACAATTTAGTGGATTGGAGCATCTAAATAACACAAAATGATAGCTCCTAAGATAGAGGTGGCTGCTTTTTCAGAGCGGAAGGAGCGGACAGAGTTGTTCAATTTGAGCAAACAAGAGTTAAATTTTCGGATGTCGGTCCAAACCCAGACATGTGGCCCGCGTCACATTCGGAGAGTAATCAATAAATCGCATTCCGTGTTGTTTTGTAATAAAATTAATCAGAAAAATCTTTTGACATATTGTTACATCACTAATGTCACTGAATTGACTAGTGTTATGACTAGCCAAGGCAAATAGCGAAGTTTGCACAATAAAAGTGTATGTTTTGTATTGCACTGTTTACCTATTCTTGGCACTATTGTGGCCCTCGAACAATGAAAAAATAAATGGGATAAGGACTCACATATTTGTCCAGGGGAGAAGAAAGGCCGATAAGAAAATTTAATAATATGGCGATTATTGGCGAATCATCCGGTCGCTAGTGCATGTCGGGTATGGGGTGAGTTAGCCAGTCATCATCCAGGATGATCAAAACCGAATAATTTATCAATTCGAATGCATTTTGGAAAAATGTTTCAAAACATCCATTATACAAGTATTTCAATTGTGAATGTTAAGTATTTCAGAGTTCAATTTACAAAATCTTTATCATCACTGAGAACAAAATTGATGTGTACATGTTTTGATTAGCTCAACCAATTTTCAAATGAAAATAATGTGAATACCTTGTATGAATAAATTAATCACATGATTTGCTACTGTCATGGTGAAGATGACTGCAAATCTTAAAATTTAAAGCTCACTATATTATCAATAAATAATGGTGAATGCGGGATTCACGAGATATCTAAAAAGTTTTTGAGCCCATTTACGAATGCAATTACCTCACGAGGAGTTTTGAATCCTAGACCAACACTTCTAACATGACGAAGTTTCTTTTTGCTGACTGCAACTCCAAGTGCTCGTTTTTTGTTTGCGAAGACAGTTGGCTGCTTCTGGTAAGCCCTCTCGGTCTGAAATTAATTTTAGAATTGGCGTTAGTACGGTATGTGTTCGCAATAAAAGAATGTTTGTATAAACTTGCTTATATAAATTCTACTCCAAATTTCTATCTACCTGCGAGAAGTACTAAACGAAAGTCATAGTTCTTTTATTTGGATTGTGTGTCAAAAATCGCATTCAAGTTGGACCATATCTCCCTATTTCTAATTCTGGACTAGCATGCAACGAGTTCAGAATGTCAGAAATGAGGTGTGCATCAACATGTTATACCTTGGCGTTGCCTAGCTAGATGAAGAGATTTGTAGATATAGACCTATGAGGTGACAAGAAGGCATGATCGATTAAATAAAGGTTCTGAAGTTAGGGAGAACCAAGTCTATCAACTTTTGAAATAAGTGAAATCTTCCAAGTTACTTAGTTGACCTTAAATTAATTCAATCATAACATGCATGTTGTAAAAGTATGATAAGGCTATGATAGACTAACAATAAATATGTCTCAAAAAATTTATTTTTACATATTCTATCATCCTACACAAAAACTACAGATTTACCCTTCTAGAATGTCCGGTATATTTTCTAAATGCTTATCACAGTGCGTACATACCTGCGCGGTATCGGCCATGTTGGCGTGAAAAGAGGGATTGCGTTTTCTTGTTGAACAGTGATCACAAGGCGGGCATGAATCCGTAAGGTGGCGGTCATCGATGGAGAGAGAGAGAGAGGGATTTATTATTTTGTCAACCAAAATACCATACATACAATCTTCAATACGATAAAAATGTAACAGAAATGAAATTGCTTTGGTATGGACAGGGGGGAGTGATACGATCATTGAGGTCAACTCCCTTCCTATTGCTGATGTGATTAAGGTTCACATTGAAGATGACTATTGTAAAAGTTGGTCAGTCAAATAGTACTAACAAATTCGAAGTAATGAAGAGAATTGACAGTTCATTGATTCACCAACCAAAAGTCGTAGACGAAAGCAAAAATATGTTTATGCAACAGTGCAGTGGTTGCAGTGCAGTGTAGATAGAGGACTTGCACGGGTCACGTGACTTTGTTTACTGGACGGCAAAAAAACAAAAACGTCCAACTGGCTCCTGTCAGTTGCAAGTCGGATTATACGTTTCCGTTTTGTTTGGCGGTTGAAAATGATTATTTCGTATTGTTCCGTTGGCTGTACGTATAGTATAGACAACGAAATGGATCTTCAGTTATATTCCACTGTTTTCAAAAGGTTCGGAACGTCGTGCAATGTAGATATCATCTATTGCTGTATTGGCAGGACTGCTTGGTGTCAAGTCCAGAAGTCATCTCGCTTGTGTTTCACTGTTTGAGGACAGATAATGGTGAGTGATAATGTGCCGTTATCAATTTCTTTAAATATTCATAAGTTCCCTCATTTCAATGGAAAGCGGAGGACAAACTATACTATATCGACAATAAGTTATTGTATCCCTAGTTAACAGGTAATCTATTACTAAGTGTAAAAAGTTGAATAGATAACCAAAGTTTAACGCCAGTGGTCCGCATCTCTGATCACCCTGGTAGTGTCACAGGTTCCGGTTCCAATCCCATGCGGGGATAGTTATGTGCGAGATTATTGCACGACATCCCCCACCATCAAGTCAATGCTTCTGAAAACAAATAACTGGCTAACTAATCCCGACATAGAATGGTAATCGTACGAGAGACTGTGGTTCGCCGTATGATTTAGTTGTTCCCTCCCCCCCCCCCCCCCCCCACATGGATAGATAAATTCTATCCTAAAGGTGCTTGTACAACTGACCCAAAATGTCTTTTTATTGTCATTGGTAAAAAAGATATGCTGCCCGAAATCAAATTCATTTACGACTTTTCAAATTCATTTTGTGGTGGGATATGGACAAAAATTTCACCACTTGATCGTTAGATTTTATGAAAACTACAATTATTAAAACTACAAAGCTAGTGCAGGATCATGATATCGAATGAATCTGTATCCATTGTCTTACAGGTATGGATGCGACCATGGAATATATGAATGGCAAAGTATAAGTTGCTACAAAATCACAGTGGCACAAGACCTCAGCTTGCGTGACTTGATGATACATCCTCAGTATCCATTTATTGATGCTCATCGTAATGACAAAGTAACTTGTGATTACTGTGGATTGGTGGAGATAAAGTTTACATTGTACTTGAACGAAAGCAACTTAAGTACGGCCCTATCAAGAAAATTTTTTTTGTTTCGGTGGGTCTGGTTGTAAAGGTTTCAGTCTAAAGTTGGACACCGATACTACAACCAAATACAGTAGCAAATGAAACTTATCGAAGTATAATATTGCGTATTTGTGATCTGAAAGAAAATTCTGATGGGTAGCCGGCTAGCCGCAATCTTTTGTTCAAAGAATATTATAAGATATGACTTGAGAGTCTAAAATTTTATTTGGGAGGGGTGTTCGTGTTACCCAAGCTAATTTGCAAATGGTATTCATGGTACCAAATGTATCACACACTTTACAAAATACACTTTATAAAATATATTTGAAAAATAAAGCACATCAAAATTGTATTTTCAAAAAACAATTGGTTTCATCTGCAGATACCAGGTTTATATCGAGGTTGACCATTTCAATGCTAAATTTTTCTTAGTCAAAAGGCACACTTGATTCGCAAAGATTTGTGAATGCGCACAGTACACCAATTTGTCTAATGTTTTGATTCCATAAGCAGGATGTTGTGGATCGGTGCTGCTCAGGATGGGATATTTTTGCTTATAAATGCATATTACGGATTTCACATGAATCCACCGTGCTCAGATTCGACTGTTTTCAAGGTCTGAAGGCTCCAACTGCTTAATTTTATCGGTACACGTGAGAATTTTCAGTGTGGCATGCATGGGTCAGTTGGAGTCACTAACATCAATATATCTATAAGCAAGGATAAGATAACCTGAAAGTAACATTCCATAATCAGAGTAAATAATGTATCTGCCTCCACAGCCCTTTCAAATGGAAGATATGATGCTTTGAGGGGTAATTTCTATTAAATATTTTACAGTGTTATGGTTCTTCTAGTGAAAATGGATTTAGACACCCTCTTTTAAAGTGTGGTAGGTCTAGTCGAAAAACACATTAAATGTTTATGCTAACAACTGCAAAGTGATATTGCAACGCATACAAATTAACAGAAGTTGTTGAAATGGTCCTGCCATTTGCCTTTCTTCAAAATCCACTTTTTTCTAACTATTCTTTCCCTCTCTGGGGATGGCGAAAATTCAAATATTGGTGGGACATAATCAGCTGATAATGGGTTATCTTTCATTTTTCCTGAAAAGAAATAACAAAAACCAACTAACGAAACAATCAGACAACACCTTCTGACCATTGATGAAGATTTCTTTCAATTTAAAACGCAAATATGCCTACCAATAACGGTAGTCTTTAGGATAGCCTGGTAGTTTCACAGGTTCCAATCCCATGCGGGGATAGTTATGTGCGAGAGGATTGCAGCTCTCCTCCCACTGAGAGTGGTTCACACGACCGCTGGCCGGTCACGACATCCCCCACCATTAAGTCCATGCTCCTGAAAACAAATAACTGGCTAACTAATCCCGACATAGAATGGTAATCGTACGATGTTGCACCTGCAATCCTCCCTCAGATAAATCCTATGGTGATCAGAGATGCGGAGGCGAACGTATTCCTAGATGGCGAATTCAATTGAATTCTGGTTATTTTTTGCATGAGCACTGGCGTTAAACTTTAGTTATCTATTTAACTTTTCACACTTACTAATATATTACCTGCTAACTAGGGAAACAATATCTTATGGCAATTGATGATTAATTCCCTACATAATTCAAGTAGACAAGCAAATAGACCTACGGCTAGGCCTACCAATAACAGTAGTTTGTCATCTGCTTTGCATTGAAATGAGGGAGCTTATGAATATTTAAAGAAATTGATAACGGCACATTATCACTCACCATCAACGAAGTGCTGTCCGCAAACAGTGAAACACAAGAGAGATAACTTCTGGACTTGACACCGAGCAGTCCTGCCAATAGATGATATCCACATTCAGCGACGTTCCGGATCTTTTGAAAACAGTGGAATATAACTGAAGTTCCATTTCGTTGTCTATACTACACGTACAGCCAACGAAACAATACGAAATAACCATTTTCAACAGCCAGACAAAACGGAAAAGTTTAATCCGACTTGCAACTGACAGGAGCCAGTTGCACGTTTTTGTTTTTTGCCGTCCAGTAAACAAAGTCACGTGACCCGTGCAAGTCTTCTATACAATATGTCCTTTCCTCTAATCTGGAATGCATAATATATAATATTATCTATTTGGCCCGAGGATTGTTCGAAATTTTACAAACTCGAATTGAGCAATATCAAATAAAAACAGCATTTTACTCCGGTATCAGTAATTATTTTAAAGATCATAGATGTTTCCCCGACCCTTGACCCCAGGAAAATTCTCTATATACTTTACCATTGCAAATTTTGTTGTTGCTTATTTCGAGAGTGTTTTGGAGAGTTGGCACTTATAAACTGATTTACGTGTGCGCAGTGGCGTGCCTAGAGGGGGGCGAAGGGGGCAACCGCCCCAGGCAGCACATTTGTAGGTAGCAGCAGAACCAAGCTGTAGACTGTAGAGTTTGAGTTATTACACATGCTCTTCTAGATGTGTTCTTATTTAATTTGAAGCTAACATTATGCGTTCTGTGGTGATGGTTTTTAAACAAGAGTTGTTTTCCCGACCCTTGAGCTCAAAAAAATTTTCCTATATTTTACAATTGCATCATTTTTTTGACGCTTAGTTTAATAAATCAAACGTTCCTTTCTTACTTGACCTTTGTTTGATTTATTCTTGTGTATGACGACATCTATAATCTGTTTATCACCCAAATTATTTTAGAAGTTAGGTATAAGGGGCAGCATTTTCAGAAACTCGCCCCGGGCAGCAGACTAGTTTGGCACGCCCATGCGTGTGCGAATTCTTCATATTTATTAAAAATATTTAACCACGTGCTGCTTACAGGAACTGGTAGCTAATTTTAACCTTCCGATCATTGCAACTAAACTAAAGCTCCTCGGAAGATATAATGACAAATAAATGATTTGATGTATAACCGTAAATATATACTACTACGTATAACTCATTAAAATACTACTGAAAATGAGAAGTAACGTGCAAAAGCGCGAAAACGAAGCAATGTTTACAACCATGCTTGAATGTCTGTATGAGCATTATAAGATTTCAGTTACATTATAATATTTCAGGTTGTGTAGAAGGCGTGCGAAATTCTAAAAATTATGGAAATAACACTTTCCATTGTTGACTAATCATACCGATCATACTGCATTCTCTTATATATGGTTCTATGATCTTCTTCTGCAATTTCTTTCACAGTTATATTGTGCATTCTTATAAATTCTAATAGAGCATTGTATCTCTTACTTATTTATAAGTCACTCACTTAATCTTGACGCGAGACAGCGCCGTCAGAACACAGAACAACGCAGGAAGTCGCACGATGATTTTCGAAGCAATAATAATCTGTCAGAACCAAGTCAAGCGTGTCGGGAATTCAACACCGGGGGAAATTTCCGGAGTTACACGGGGTTGATCATACTGCAGGTCTTAGAAGTTCAGTGTCAAATCAATATTTCTCCCTACTAACGCTGTTGCATTTTGGTACAAGTATAATATCGAATATGTAAATGCATAATTATATATGAGAAATACATATACTTTGATACGAGTATTTAAAAATAAAGTTTGTGCCATTGATGAATTGATGAAGAATTGCAATCAATATAAGTTGATCCTCATTATAGATAATTCAACGTTCGTATTATAAACCTTTGACGTTTTCGTGTTTCCGTAAAGCAGTAGGCTATACGCATTTATGGTCTGTACAGTATGTTCCCCAGCTTTTCTTTTTAGGGGGGGTGTTTCGAAAATTAGGGGGTGGTAAATAATTTGCTAATAGAGATAAAACTAGGCTATTTGTATTCTTAAAAAAATGGTATCTATTTAAGAAACGATGTACATGAGCCCCCCCCCCCCCAAGTTGATTGACGGCGAGCCAAAATCCACAGCAGAATCAAATTGTAGGGCCAGAAAAGGGGAGCGAGGAAAAGTGCGGGACGTAACGGCTGGGGTTGAGGGCGCGCTTAAGCGCCCTGAGAAAATTTTGAGAAATAGGCACCAAAATAGGCTCTAAGCTTGATTTTAGATACACCTAGCATTGCAGTTTGTTATGTAATGAAATCAATAATTATAATATTTAGCTGATAGAATTCCCGGGAAATAGAAAACAAGCACGGCTTTCAACCGTAAATATATACTACTACGTTTCAACAAGTAATTTGCAACTGATAGTGACTAATGAAGTTACTTGCTCATCTGGCATTGTATGAATGGCTACTTATGGCTTGTTTTGTTACACATTTCACATTTTTTTGAACATGTTTGTTTGACTTTTGTATGAATTAAGCAATGAATTAAATTTTGAAATACGCGCGTCAACTGATCATAATGTTGTATTCCTTCAGAACTGAAATATTTTTTGGTAAGAAGACAAATCGCAGAGGTTTGATTCTTTTCAATAAAGAAATAAAAACGCTGTCATTCATAAAAAAAAACGTCTGTTTTCAGTGCCTAGTTTTCGTTTTGTGACATCTTTAAGCTTTCCTAATATACGGCTGATACCTAAAATACTGCAGTGTGTAATCCTAATACCCATACGTATACATAAGATACCGGTATAATTCAATTGTTACGAAATAAACGTGCTTAAACTGTGATAATGATGAAACAATAGACGGTATCTAAAACTCAAAAGGTACCACATGAAGGGTTAAACAATTTCACTCAAGTTCGGCGGGCCATTATAAATCGTCACGCCGGCCGTAATTGGCCCGCAGACTGCGGTTTAGAACGCCTCATCTACACTGATAAATATGCCATAGTCGTTATATTTGAATACAATTATACTTGAGTTAGGAAATACAGTGTGGAATCGCACTTCAAAATTAGGGGGGGTGTTTGAAATTTTAGGGGGGGTGTTCACCCCCTATAGGGGGGGGTGTAGGGAAATCACTGGGTCTGTACAATATTAAATCGGTCGAAATAAACCCAATATACGTATACCAGTATTTCCCAACGAAGCAAGGTATGTTGATATATATCTAACCTGCATTACGGAGATTTGTTATACTGGCAATTTATCGTGAGATCTCGGATTGATGTTTCAAGTAACTGGCTACGCTGGTGACCGTACATTTGAACCCACGTACATTTGAACCCATGCGTATATCCACGGGTTCAATATATATGCGGGTGCTAAAACCCATGGGTTAGGGTTAGTATGGGTTTAACCATCCGTGAAACAAAAAAAATTCCATAGGTGCAATAGCATACAGGTGCAATTGTCATGGGTTCAAATGTACGTGGGTTCAAATGTAATGGAACCGGCTACGCTACTTGCAGCAAGAACCTTTTTGCCTTGTTCATATTTAACATGTCGGCGGGGTCATATCATATTCTTATTGTTGGTGGCTAATTGAAATTGGATGAAAAATGACCACATACAATTAAAATATTCATTCAATGCATCTTTGAGTATAACAGATTCTAGTATTTAATCTAAGCGTACCGTAATTTATTACAAAGTGCCGTATTCATCAATGTAATTCACCTGTACGATATTATACCTATTTATCATAACTAAACTGCATGAAATATAATTTTTATCTGATTTTAATTTGAAGAGATAAAAAGAATTGAAGTTATGAAGCACATTATTTTCTTGGCGATATTGTTCATGTGCGGTGTAATTCTGGTGGATGAAATTTACTCCAAAAGTTTTTATATCTTCAGCAGCGATAACTTTAGAAATGTAAATGGGTAAGCCATGTGTATTATTCAGTCGTCTAAAAATAATGTCAATGATGATATCACATCAATGATTTTTTCCAACACGCTTGAAAAAACTTTGTATGATATTAAAGTTGGACCATGATATTTTAAATGAGTAAAAACAACTATACGCATCACATGCGTATGAAGGTACAAATGTCAAGCTTTAGTGTTTAAATATCGCAGGTATAGTTCTCGACAACGAAGAGGCGGAAGGTGGAGCAGGAAAAAGAGATCGTTATCACAATTTGACGAAAATTTTGACGTTGGTAAGAATCGAATTTGATTTCTTTGATATCAATAGTATTAATATTCGTCACTAAATTATATTTTGGCTTATATAAGAATTTGCTCGATCATAAGTTAATATTGGCTCTGCTTTCATTACCTTGTAAGATCTGTTTAATTGTGAGCAGGAACAGAGGAAAAGTTCACTGTGAACAATCCGTTGAAACTATTATTTATCTCAAATATTAAAAATGATTTATGACTATACTTTATATAATGCTTATTTTCAGTTGAAGAGGATCTCTCATTGATGTGAAATTTCAAAGCTGCGAACTGATCGAATATGTAAAAAAATATATAAAAACATGTTCAAATAAACTTAACAAAAGCAAATTCTGTTTCATATTTTTTTTTAATTATTCTCGAGATTTGGATTTGAGTCATCAATCGTTGCTGATGGAACGCGTCGTTGGTCATGATGTACGATGTGTAACAGCTAAGGGAATTTATTATGAGTAGCCAACTATTTGAAATGGTATTGATAGTGCGTAAGTAGGATCCAATGATCTATGTTTGAATAAAATTGAGGCAGAAATTCTGAGTTGAGCAAAGGACCAAGTACGGAGTGAGCATATTATTGCCTGGCAATAGACGCTAACTTAACAGAATGGGCATTTGCTGAAAATGTGACCTCAAGATATCAAATTTTGTTATCTAAACCTTGAATTATTCCTTTACACATAAAACATATTTCTTGTTCAAACACTTATATATGTTGAGATAGTTGAAAATCAATAAATTTGTCAAAATGGAAAATCGTATTTGTGATAAATTGTGGAGACAGAAAAGTGAAGAACTTTTCAATTTTGTTCTTTTGTTGTTGTTACACAATTAAATATCATTACACTATATTTAGTTATTTTGCATAACCAATAGAAAAGACATATTTGCAAAGGACAAATAGTTGATAGTATTTAAAATAAATCATCTGTAGGTAGATCACCCTGTTCATTCTCTAAAGTTTTTAAAATTCTCTTTTTCAATTTAATATTAGTTATTTCTAATTCCAAACCGAACAATGAACTTTTCCTCTCTGTGCACAATTCTCCACCACAACACAAAGACTGACTGGCAAATTCCGTATTTTCGTTAGTTAGTTAGTTATTTCGTTAGAAGGTAATATTAATAGTATATTGAGTAAAATTGGATTCCGTACCCTAAATACTACAATAATCGAAAAAAGAATAACGTATTACGCAATATGTAAAATATTCCTGATTGCAGGCCAGTATTTCAATTTGTTACGACTTGCTATATTTATTTATGAGTATTCACAGTTATTGGTTTATTAGCACAGTTAACTGCTGCTATATATATATATATGCAATATTCCATAGATGTTAAGATGTCTAATATATGGTTCGAATAAAACATTATTTGCACAAAACATTTTGTCATCTTCGTGTAATCAGTGGACTGTTAATTACATTTTTAGGAAACAAAATAACACGTATCAAGCTTTGGTACCATATTGCTGTAGTATTTTTTGACTAAATGATATTCAGTTAAAGTTTTCATAAAACATCATAATAACAGGTAATTTAAGTAGAGTTTTTCACCCTACTTGACTTCCAACGTCTTAGCTAACGGCATACAAATATCCACAAGCTCACACCGTTCATTATATGCAATATGGACAATTATTTTCCGGTATGCATAAGTAAATTTCTATTTAAAACGAGAATTATTGGAAGTTGTGGAAACACGAATTGCTATTCATCAAATCATCGCAGCAATATGTTCGTGTCTTGTTGATTATTAAAATTTTGAACCCTAAAAGCCGGTTTTCCGACTTTTCCAAGAACGTCTTCTGTCGTTGAAAGCCGGTTTTCCGGCTTCGGCATCCCGTATGAGGTATGTAACTTTGAAACCCCATATCTCGCGAACCCTGTATTACATTTGGACAAGTTTCACATTGTGTGAATACAACTAACTATAATTCTAAAATTAAGATGAAATGTCGCGATTATCCTACAAAAATTTGCAAAATTGAAAAGCATGAAAAATGTCTGGAAAGTAGGCTTGCACGTAATTTACGGATTTACGGAATTACGGAATTATTTCGAGTTACGGAAGCGAAGTTACGAATTACGTAAATTCGTAATTATTGGTGGAGCGCTTTCGCGATTGAAACGAGCTCTCTTCAGAGCAGTCAATTCCGTCGATTGTAAAAAATTAAAGTTTAATAAGTAGAAGAAGTTAGAGTTCCGGAATTCGCAGCCGTTTTTCTCTCTCTTGTTACGCAGACGGAGAAGGCATAACGCGTTGCCATTTACTAACCTATTATCAACTTATCTATAGCATGGCAAATGTACATATTAAGCGTAGATATGGGATAGAATTGTGTTGAGACCGATGGACGCCAACACACCTGGTTTCAACTTCTTCGGGTGAAAGGACTAAAGAATGTAAGAGATCAACTTACCAAACATGGTCTATTTGTAAATGCCGTGATAATTAATGTCGCGCTTATCAAACAGCAATATGACGACGGAAGAGAAATTGCGTAATGAACCAACGCAACTTAGTCTTTTCGGCATCGGTAAAGCGATTCAGACGGCAGAGAAACAACAAAAAGACGGGATTGATTTCCCATGTTTATTCTGCGCGAGATCCATTTTCTATTACAAAATATTGATACTCTGTTACCGGTTTTATCGTTATATATCTGTCCGGACTTGGCTTTGTTTTCAAAATGCCTCGCACTATTTCGGCCAAATATGTCTTTACAAAATCTTTAAGTCTTTACCAAATGCGGCAACTTATTTTGATTTATCGTCGACTCAAATACCACCGGCACTCGACCAAACTTTTGTCAATCTTAGCCGATAGGATTGTCGACTTGAGTTAGAAAAGTAAATTAATATTTTCGTGAGTGCAAAATAAATGTCACAAAATGCATTGTTTTGCGATATAACTTTGTATTTTCGGAGAAGGCATGTCATATAAGTACGGTATTTAAATTATGCGCAAATAATCAATATTTGATCTAAATTTATCGCAAATAATGTTATAACATTTAGGCCGCGAAATGATTTAATGTAAAATGAAGCATGGTAATCGGAATATCGTCAATAAGTCGGCATCAATAAATATTATAAAATGCTAACTAGGTAGTAAAGTCGGATAATGTAAAAAAACGGTACAATAACAAGTCTTCGTCGCGAGGCAAGCGCAAGTATAATCAAACGAGAGAATACGCTCGTCGTTGATTTATGAATTAGAAACCCGGAATTTTTATTTAATACGAAACTCGTATTAATACGTTAATACGATTTAAAAAGAGTCAACTATCGTTTCATAAATATATTACCACTTACCAGTGTTGGTAATGATGAAATTGATCGCATAAAATTGGGTGATAAGGTTGATAAAGGAAAATCAAAGCTAACACAAAAGATAAAAATCAGAATAAAATTAATTTGAATTCACTCCTTGATATTTGTATTTAGCATCTGTCGCCGGCGTGTAGTACTGGCGGAAATATGAAAACCAAACTGTCTCAACTGTCGATGTCCCATTCGGAATAGAAGTGGATTAAATTGGTTGTTATGATAGGTTTAAAAGTGTGAAAAAAAATATCGCAATTACGGGGTCATTACGTAATCGATTTGGCCGTAATTACGGAATTGATTTTTGTCAATTACGTGCAAGCGTACTGGAAAGCTCCTAAATAAAAAAAGGAAAACTTTGATTCGTTCTCGTTTTAACCTAGTGCATTGTCGACAGATTTGTAAAGGTTAAGATAGCTTTTAAATGGTAGAATTAGATTGAATTTATGATGCCCCAGTCAAATTGTATGAGCAATTTTATCCAATGTTTTCTTCATCGCCACATGTCCGTTGCGTCAACCGTTTCCAATTACTTCGTTACGCAGCGACGTTGCGCGATTACGTCGCCTCGTAGCGACTTTATGCAGCTTTACGTTCCTTACAAAAAATACATATCCCTTTCCCTCTCAAGTGTGTAACGTCATTTACCTACGGTCATACGTTTAAAATGATCAACGACTTAAACGCAACATACAAGCGAATTAACGCATCGCATCTTGCCTCTAAACTTGTTTGACTAAAAACACGCAATATGCAGTGTTGTTACGGTTTGATTAAATGAAAATGTGAAAAACAGCAAAAGCAAAAACTGCAGATGATTTAAAAGAATGGAGATATATATCACGGGACGCATTGTACTACGGGGAGTGTAAAATATTTACCAGGTGATCTACCGACGCCACCATGTCTTCCACGGCTTTGTTGATGAAACTTATTGAAATTCTGATGATATCCAACAGTGAAGAATTAATCTTGATGTTTCCGGTGGCATCGCATAATCACGCGGGGTTCAAATATTTTAGTTTGACCATTTATTTACGTCCCATAATCAAATAATAAACGTATATATATATATATATCATGGCCCGTATTTTTAGGACGTATTATCTATGTTCGATAAAGATTCGTTCCAATATATAGCTTTTAAATGGTTTTATTCAAATCTTACTTGAATAAACAAAATTAGTAGATGGGACTAAAAATATGATTAAACATCTCATGAAAAATTTCGAATTCACGCGACTCCGTGGGAGTTCAGGGTGAGAGAGTAACGTCTTTCTGGTAACTCTGAGGGTTAAAGATATATGTAATCCAGATTAAACTACAACTCTTCCCTGATAGTATTATTGGCGTGACACTTATTCCACACTTGTACCACCTGTCCCAAGCATCGATTATCGGACACCCCTACATGTAGAGGGTAGCGATTTATACAAAATCAGTCGTCTGTTTATATCAGAGCATCCTCTGCGCACAGTGCAATTCATTTATTTGAAACAACATCATCGCATTATATTTGATCATATTTCATAACCAATAAGACAAAAGTTTTGACAGAAAAGAGTAACAGAAAATATTTTATCTACAATTATTGCATTCCTCTCGTTGATTTATCAGTTATATACGAATTTCAGCAATTTCCCGCAGATCATCAAACATGAGTGGATCCTCATCTGAAAATATTAGAATCGATTAAATGAGGGCAAATATATTCCAATAGAATGTTTTCACATTCTATATCTATACTATAGAAAATTCACCCGAACCTCTTATTGAAAACGACCACTATCAGTCAATTTGTGCATTGTTTTTATTGGAGTAAATACAAGTTAATTGCGGTTATAGCCAAGTTTCATCGCGTTGCTAAATACGTAATATTTTTTTTTCTTTTTTGCATTTTTCCCCAATTTAATATTAGTCAAAGCTTGGTAATTATTTTTACCTATGAATTCTTGTTCCAAACCAAACAGTGATCTTTTTCTCTTTCCCCACGATCCATCG